CCCCGGGGCCTTCCAGCGAGGGTGGCGCGGGCAGGCAGACACATCCACGTTTGTTCCCGCTCCAGCCTCGCCACTCGGTTGCCCGGGCCAGAGGCCACTGCATCCACCCAGGCGTCTCATCCTCACATCCTTGTAAGAAAGACCAAATTTTAAAACAAGTTCCAAGATGCCTCTTTAAAGATCAGTACTGAAAAAAAGAGTCAGCACTAAATCCTTACGTAACTACTCTGCTCAGAATCTCAATTCGTAAAACCAAATCACGGAGAGACTGATGAGAACATTAGTTATTTCTGCCTATAGATTTAAAAAGTCACAATCAGATCAGACGTGATCGCATCCCCAAGGTCGCTCCGTCCCCAAGGTCGTGCTCTGTGGACTCACTTCTGCCACGTGGTAAATGGCAACTGGCTTCACAGCTCTAGTTTCATTTTAGAGCAGCACCACAGTGTTTATAAAAAAACTGATTCACACTAAGGGAGAAGCCTTAAAGATGAACTGCTTATTTAAAACAGCCCATCAAAAATAAACGACTAGAACCTGAAAGTATCTGAAAGGGCTTTACCGGATGCTACGAAGCTGTATGTGTGCCTGAGTACAGTTTCAAAACATCCAGAAGGACACTGCGCCAACAGCCCACCGCCGAGTCACCGCTCAGCGGACGGGGCGCCCACTCTTCACTGGCTCCCTCTGTGCTGTCTGAGTTCTTCAGAACAGTAAGTATTGGCTGGACAGAGCTAACCTGATAAACGTCACTCTCAGAAAGGAAAACGCCCGGGGCAGCCCCCGGGGAATGCGCAGCGCCCCCCGCCCCCATCTGGTCACAAAAGAGCGGGGCTCTGAGCTCCTCCTCGCCCCAGCGCACTGAGCGCTGGGGCCCCTCAGGGAGAACCCCGCCCCTCCGATGGGACGTGCAGAAGCCCCAGCCGGACAGGCTACTGTGCGCCCGCCCGTCGCTGTGAAGGGCCTCGCAGAGCACGGACCCAGCACACCGGCCCCTCCACGGGGCCCCGCGGTCACTCCCGCTGGGAAGGGCTCGGGCACAGGGCTCCTGCTCACACGGGGCAGGGCGGGCTCTGGGGACCCCCGGGCCACACCGGCAGGCGAGGCTGTGCAGGCTAAGGACCACACACACATCACGCAGGCCAGGGACGCCCGCCCGTCACGGGGAGCCGTGCCGCCGCGGGGGCACAGCGCGCTGCAAGGGTCACCCCTCTGCATCTTCCTCCGTTAATCCCGAGCTTAGTGTGGCCCGAGGGTTTGAAGCACAGACCCAGCAGGTCCACCCTGGCCTGGTCTCCTCTCCCTGAAAATCGGGTCTGGTGCGCAGTTGCAACAGCAGCGAGTTCCCAATTTAGAAAGCAAGGGGGAGACGAAGCCGGGAGCTTCCCATCAGCCAGGCGCCCACAGGCGGCAGGCGCCACAGCCGCCCCGGGCAGGTGCGGCCCACAGCCGCGGCCGCCGCCCCTGCCTGGTTCCCACCTGCCCGTGGCCCAGCGTGTCCCTGCTTTCACCCTGCAACCGGCCACTCGCCTGAGCCGCCGGAGAGGCGGGGAGGGGGCAGGAGCGGCAGTGCCGCCGCCGGCTTGTCCTGCGCCCGCCGCTGCTCCTGCCCTAAGTGCCGGCCGGCATTCCCTGAGAGCGAGTGCAAACGGCCGTTTGCAGAATCCGAGGCCGCGGGCGTCCCAGACTCAGCACAGGAGACGGCGGGCAGGGGCGGGCAGCCCATCGACACCGGCTCCGTGCAGAATAGGTCGCCAGGGCCTGGTGGCTGCGGCCCGGCGGGCGGGGCGCCGGCCTGCGCACCGAGTGCGGTGCTTCTCTCCCTCTCTGTCCCTCCCTGCCCCACGCCAAAAACAAATAAATAAACTCTTAAAAAAGAAAACAGGTCACAAAGGAACTCTCAGGTAAAAAATGGTGCCCAGAGCAGAGGTGTTAGTGAGCTCCCCCTCCGTTCCAGACACCCTTCTCGAAAGGCCTCTTTGAAAGGCACGCGTCTGACCAGATAAAACCAAAGGGAGAAAAGCAACAGTGAGATCTGGGGAGCTGTAAACAAAGGGACAAATGAAAACCGACAGGTCAGAAAAAAGCGGAACCTTCGCCTTGCAACGCGGACCCTGAGGGACAGTCCTGCTCTCAGCACGGACGCCCCGAGGACCGGAGAGCGGCCTGGGTCCCCAGGTGAGTGCGGTGCAGAGGGGCCAACGAGGAGAGTCTGTGTGAGAAGCCCCCAGGCAGGGCCATGCGCTCCTCTCCGCTGGGCAAGAAAAGCCCTTTCTTCCACTTCAGAAACGCTCCCAGACCCGAGCCCCAGGGAGTGTCCTCCGCCGAGCCAGAGGCCGCACCAAAACCCTGGTGAGCCAGGCTCGGGGGACAGGCCAGAGGCAAGAGAGGGACGCCTGGGCTTGCCGCCCCCTCCCCACGCTGTGCTGAATTCCAGCCAGAGCGGTCAGGCCAGAGCCAGGGCCAGGGCCAGAGCCCAAACTGGGAGGGAGAAGTAAAGCTGGCCCTGCAGCGATGCCACCATCTCATGTATAGGAAACCCTAAAGGATCCACAGAAAACTATTGCAGCTGATAAACGCTGTGCAAAGTTACAGGATAAAAGGCCCACAAACAAAGTTAGTTGCATTTCTACACACTAACAATGAACAACCTGAAATAAAACGAAGAAAACAACTCCTCTTACAACTGCATCAAAAAGGACAACAAACCTGGGGATAAAATGAACCACGGAGCGCAAGACTGGCGCGCTGAAAACTGCAAGGCAGGGCCCCGCGGCCCAGGGGGCTGCGAATGCCGCCCAGCACCGGATCGTAAGTCTACTTAAAACCTCTTTTTGCTCATCCGTTTTCGTTAGTGTTTGTGGATTTGATGTGTGGCCCCGAGACGCCAAACAGCTGGACACCCCTGTCCGGAAAACACGCCGTTAGGAGAAGGGAAAGCACCCACGGAAAATGGGCGGACGAGCCCCCAGACGGGCCGCCTCGCCCCGCGCGCCCCACTGCAGTCAGAGCGACCGTCCGCGGCCTCCCCTGCAGACCCGGGGACGCCAGCCCCCAAATCCACACGCAAGGGAATGGGTCCCAGAGAGCCAAAGACCACCTTGAAAAACAGCTGAAGACTCAATTCCCGACTTTAAAACTCTACAAAACAGCGTGTTAACTGGCCTAAAGGCAGGCACAGACTAACATCGGGACCCAGCAACAAGCCGCACGTTCCCAATGGCTGGGTCCTACCCGCAGGACACGACCTCTCCCGGGGCCAAGACCAGTCTCTTCAGCGACCGAGCTGGGACGGACGGGCACATGCAAAAGGTGAGGCTGGACCCCCACCTCACACTGCACACACACTTAACTCAGAAGGGACCAGAGGCCTAGTCCTTGGCGCTAAGGCGGCAAGTAAAACACTCGGGGAGGGCACAGCGGGGCGTCCGTCTCCACCACTTCCGACTTGCGATGAAACAGGCAGGGCATAAGCACCAACGGGAGGCCAGGTGCCCCGGACCTCCGCAAAATCCGGCTTCAGGGCGCGGAAGGGCGCCGTCAAGAGGGAGGGGCAGGGCCGCCCGAGGAAGAGAGGGGGGTGCGGGCGAAAGGCCGATCTGTTGACGGGCGGCCTGCAAAGCACTCCCACACCTCAGCAGGCGCAAGACAGCGCGTTCAAAGCGGGCAGAGAACCCGCGCGGACGCTTCTCCGAAGGAGATGCGCGGCACTGGTCAACGGGCACCCACAACCCGAAACGGCGGCGCGCCGCGCAGCTCACAACGGCGATCGGCGCGGGCCGTGCGGCTGCGGGCCCGCGGGGAGGCTCCGCCGGGAGAGTCTCCGTCACCCCGCGAGCCGCAGGGCGCAGGTGTGAACCGAAGACCGACGGGGCGCCCGCGTGGCCGGAGAGGGCTGAGCTCGAGCGAGCGCTCGCTCATGCGGCCACAGAGGGCCGGCCGGGCGCCCTCACGCCGGCGGGGCGCCACTCGGCCCCGAAGAGGAGCGCCAGGCAGACCGTCTGCGGGAAGCCGTGCTGCTGAGACAGGAGCCCCGCACAAGGGCCGTGGGGTCTGAACCCCTGCAGTTCGCACAGCGGGGAGTGCGGCCGGGCGGTGGCGGCAGCGGGGTCTCATCGGGGCTGGCCGCCGAGAGCCCCGCGGAGGCGCCAGCGCTAACGGGGCGACCCGAAGTGGGACTCGCCGTGAGCTCGCTGCGCCCAGGACGGCAGCAGCCCCGGGCCGCGGGCGCGCAGGCTCCGCGGACGGAGACCGGGAGTGGAGGGGGGCCGGGGCCGGCTGCCTCTGAGCCTGGCACGGCCTCGCACCCCGTCCACGACGCGGCAGCGCGGGAGCCACGCGGCGTCGGCGCCCAAGCCCAGAGCGGCGCGGGTCGCGCGTCCCCGGCGTCGCGGGAACGGGACCGACGCACGGGGAAAACGAGGCGCTCCCGCCGCTGGGACACAAAAACGTGATGAATTTCAGGGGGGAAAACGGCAAAAAGGCGCTGGGAGGTTGAAGACAAGATGCCTAGAGTGTCCGGGGAAAGCCCAGGAGGGCACGGAAACCGCGGCGCGGAGATAAGATCGTGGAAGGCCGGCCGAGCCCGAGCAGCCTGGGCGGAGCGCGCGGACGGGGGAGCAGGGACACGGAATAAAGGGGGGAACGCTCCAGCCCGAGACTCGGGGCGGCGCCGCTGTGCTGAGCACCGCCCGCACCGAGACTGGGGGCCGTCAGTGCCCGACGCGGACGCCGCCGGGGCGCGGCCGACCCGGGGGCTCTCGGGGCTGAGGGACGGGCGGAGGCGGGGCGCCCCGGCTGAGCGGCCGCGGGCCGCGAACACCGCGGGCACTGAGGCGGCGGGGGCGGCGGTCGTAGGCGGCCTCGGTGGGGCCTGCAGCTCGGCGCGTCCCCGCAGCCGCCCACCCGCCGTGGGGGTGCCCGGCCGGCCCCGAGCCCGGCCCCCGCCCCGGCCCCGGCCCCGGCCCCCACCCCGGCCCCCACCCCGCCCAAGACCTCACCTGCCGCGCGCCGCTACCGCCGCCCGAGGCCTAGTCCGCACCGCCCAGGCCCGGCCCAAGGAGCAGACCGTTCCGGTGGCAGCCAATCGCGCGCTGCGCCCAGAGCAGGGGGCGGGAGCAATGTGGACGTTCCCCAATCCCGACCGCGCCACCTGAAGCTCTCGGCCAATGCGGAGGCGGCCTACCTAGAAGTACGGCCAATCACGAGCCGAGGCTGACTCGCGGGGGCGGGGAAACGCTTTGAGTGGGAGGTGGCGGAACGAGCGGGCGGCAGGGCGGGGCAGGGTCTCCGGGCGACCCCAGGCTCCGCAGGGCACCGGACGGGATGTTTCACGCCCCAGCCCCACGCCCGCCACCGCCCTCGCCCCGCCGCTGGCCGGGCCTCCTCGCTACCCGGGCCGCAGCCCCGTCCCTCAGCGGTCCGGCGCGCAGAGCCGTGTGGGTGCCCCGGCCCAGGGGTGCGCGCCCTGCTGAGGCAACCGTGCCCGGCACCCCGCCGGGGGCCGCGGTGACTCCCGCTGACCCCTCGGCCCGAGCCGGGCTCCGGACGCTGCTCCTGCTCCCGCGGTTCTGTCCGGTCCACACCCACGCCTCCCTCGGATTTCACGACTGTGTCTCGGCGGGGATAGGGCGCTACTCTTTCTAATCCTCACGTTACTAAGGAGGGAACGGGCTCCCGGGCGTCGGGGAGCTGATCAGGTGGCCAAGGCCGCCCGCCACTGCGCGGAGCACTGCACAGCCCTCCGAAGGAGGACGGGCTTATTCCCGGCAGTGGCGTGGGCTGTGCGACAGACCCACACGAGGTCCGCCACCGTGCTCGCGTCGCTGCCTCGGCGAGCGCTCGGAAGTCTCCCCCGGGAGTGTCTACCGGGTGCCTCTTCCTCCGGGCGGGGCTGCTGTTGAACCGGAGCGGAAAGGGGCGGGAGAAGGTGGTGCCTTCCCAGGGCTGCGGGGGAGAGGATCGGGTGGACGAGAGTGAAGGTCCCGGTAAACTCCAGGCCTGGCTGTGACGGTGTCTCGCAGCCGCCTGTCACTGGTGAGCGCTGGGGCGCGGGGCCCCAGCCAAGATGTGCTGTGGATGAAATCCACACGCGACTTACAAGACCACGGAAAAGAAAGACGGTAAAGTGTCTCAGTACTCTATAATTTTCCTTGTGTTAATTTAAAATATTTTGTATATATTGGTTAAGTAAAATATACTATCAAGTTAATTTTATGTTTCTTTTTTTAGTATGGCGACTAGAAAATGTAACATTTCATTCCTGGCTGAAATGCTATTTTTAGTGAAGGGAGGTGTAGGTGTTACTGGAAACCTCTGGGTAAGGATTCTGCACTGGAAACGTCACAGAAGCAGTCTTCCTTCTCCCGATATTACAGATCAACCCAAGAATCTTAAAAAAAAAATGAAAGAAAGAAAAAAAAGTTCAGCCATAATGAACCAGCAAGGTGTAAACCCACATGACAATGTGCAGGGAGCAGACAAGATTCTGGTGGGTTCAGCAGGACCCTGGTAGGTGCCAGATAATGAAGGGGACTCAACAAAATCCTGAGGGTCCTCACGAATAACCCTCACCCACCTGGGTTGCTGGACAAGGACTTGGGTGCTGGACTGGCCACTCTGCACCTAGAGGTCGCCCCAAGTCCACCTAACTGGCTTCCTTCCATTGGTTTGTGTTCGCTTCATCTGGGTCCAGCTGGTTGGTGTGGAACCAAATGGTCTGCACTGGCTGGAATTGGTCTGGACCAGTGGGTTTGAGTGAGTCCGCCTGGCACCTTGGCTGCGCTAGGCCCGTGAGCGCACCTGTAGCGTGCCCGCCAGCTCCTCAGGAGGCGGCCGAGGGCAGGGACGAACTCTGCAGGTGACTACCAGTCCGAGAGAATGATCACAGTGGGGAACTTGCCCCGGAACCTGAAAGGTTACAGGCTAAACACAGAAGGGGAGAGGCAGCTCCAAGAGCAAAGGCCGTGCTCCTTGAGGAAGGAAATGGCACCTTACAGCACCCCAGAGACTAGAGTGGGAAGTGCGACTCCACACGGGTGCACTGTGCGATTCCACACGTGTATGTATGCATGCACACGCATAAGGCACAGGAAAATCCTGCTAGTGGTTCTACCCAAGCAGGGCAACACAATTTGGTTTTCTCATTTGACAACATCTGTATTTTGCACAATGAACTCATTATTTTAAGAAATGTTACAAGTTCGGAAATGGCCCCGCCTGCTGTGGCTCAGTGGATTGATCACCTGCAGGCAAACCAAGAGGTCCCTAGTTCGATTCCCGGCCAGGTCACCTGCCTGAGTTTCAGGCCAGGTCCCCTGTTGGAGGCGTGCGAGGGGCAGCTATCCATCCAATTGACCTCTTCCTCCCTTCCCATGTCCCTAAAAATAATAAAACCTTTTTTTAAAAATTTGGAAATGTTAAAGTACAGGAAAGTACTATAACATGCATCTTGATTCCACTGCCTTGAATTGACTACTACTATTTTTAAAGAAACAAAATTGTATTCCAGGTGAGTCGAAACCTAAATGAAAAGTAACACTACAAAGTGTAAGGAAGATGCTGAAGGAGACGCTTTCCCAGAACTGGGAGGAGGGCTTGTTAAACAAAACCTCAAAGGCAAACCATCCCTTTGGCGAAACACTGAGGGCTCTGATTACATCACAATGAGAGGTGTTGAATGGGAACCAGCCCGCAGCCTGGTGACCCATGACCAAGCAGAAGACATTTGCATGTTTAAAACAGACCAAGGGCGCCCTGGCCAGGTGGCTCTGTTGGCTGGAACCGTCCTGATGGCCAAGGTTGCGGGCTCAACCCCCAGTCTGGGCACATGCAGGAATCAGCCAATGAATGCATCAGCACCTGGAACAACAAACCCATGTTTCTCCCCCCCCCACCCCCCGTCCCTTCAAAATCAATGGTTTTACAAAAACTTAAAAGACAAGGGGCAAAAATAAATAAATAAAAAATAAAACAGACAAGGGGCTGCCAACAGAATGTACAAGCAGCTCCTGCGATTCGACAAGAAAAAGGGACACAGGAGAAAATGGGCAGAGGAGAACCAGCCTCCCACAGAGAGAGACCTCAGTGCACCCCCAGAGCACAGGGAGGCGCCGAAGCTCTTCAGCGATCAGAGACACGTGCATTAGAGCAGCTCCATGCCCGCCCCGTCCACTGGCAGTGATCCGGAAGGGACGGCGCTGCGTGCTGGCAGGCCCGGGGACACGGACCGCACCCATGGCCTCACAAACCCCGCCTCTGCCTGAGGGAGGGCACGTGACAGGCCCTGCCTGCCGAGGTGCCCACCCCGACGGTCTGTGAGGAAAGCAGAGGCCGGCTGTGTCCCTGAGCGGGCAGCGAGGGCGGGAAGCTGCTCCCCCAACCCAGATAGCGGCTGGTGGCTCCAGGCAAACCAGGACGGGAGGTGTGCTGGTAGATTTTACCTGTCACCTGGGCCCGGCCACAGGTGCCCAGATAGTTGCCCTTGGGGGTGTTTCTGGAGGAGATGAACACCTCAGTCAGTAGACTGACCCAAGCAGATGTCCGGCCCCGCTGTGGGTGGGCCTCGCCCAGGCCACTGCAGGCCGCAGTGCAGTGAGAGGCCGAGTGGACAGAATGCCCTCCCCACCTGACTGTCTGACCCGGGACCCGGCCTGCTCCTGCCTTTGGACTCAGGCTGGACCGGAGAGGCCGCCGTCGGCCCTCGGCCCTCCTGGGTCTCTGGCTCACTGCCTCGGCCTCAGACTTTGGCCTCCACAATTGTGCAAGCCAATTCTTGTTTTATGTTATTGCCAATTTTAGATAAACACGAATTACCTTTAAAATAAATGTTTGATTTGATGTGATATTTAGAATTTTTATGTATTTAAAATATTTATTAAAACATGACCATTTATTATGTATACAAACATTTCTATACACCATTGATACCTACATGTATCATACAGATAAGTAAATGGCTTCACTTATACATCATACAAACAAAACTGTAACTTATTTACAAAGAGCTATTGAAGAATACAGCAGGTTAAGGCATAGAAGAAACACATTCAAACCTCCTCCACAAAGAGATTCCCCCTCACACCTTAACCCATGGGCCTGGAATAAAATAATGGGCGTTAAGGATGGAAGGTTGCACATTGTTATTTGCCCCAAGGGGTTGATGGGAGGAGGTGGGCTGGGGAGGCAGCGGCTGGGGCTGCGCCATCTTGGCTGAAGCCTGAGCCTCTCCGAGCCCGGCCTCCCCCTCCCTCGTAGCCGGGAACAGTGCCTGCCTCGCAGGACCCTCCGGGGACGGGGCACTGACGCTCCGCGTGCCTGGCCCTGGGGGAGTACTCAGGGAACAACGTCCTTTGTTGTGTAAGGACAATGATGACAGTATGAACTCCTGCCTTCAGCTGGGACAGGGACTTGGGAAGGCCGCGGAGGGTTAGCTCTGGGAGTGGAGACCGCCGCCCCAGGCCCAAGCCTGCTCGCGTCTGGGCGGGCAGGGGGCCGGCGAGGCGGCCAGTCCGTAGGGCTCGATGTAACGCAGCGGCCCAGGCTCCAGCGCGTGGCGGGGCCTGGGTGGCCTCTGTTCTGGAGACGCGCAGAACCAGCCGCCTGGAAATCAGCCCTGGGCCCCGGCGGACCCCGGGACGCGAGCCGGCTTTTGTCGCAGCTGCGCCACAGCTGTGGTCGGGCTGTCGGTTTCGAACGGCTCCAATTTTTTCTTCCACGCTCCGTGTGGGGGAAAGACCTGGACGGACGGTTGCGCTGCCCGTGCCCCCCGAGCCCCGGCCCGGTCTCTCGTGAGCACGTGGACACGGGGCCTGTTTGCCGGCATCCCGGCAGCCGGGCCCGGCGGGTGCGGGCGACACGGCAACTGCGAGGAGCCTGTCCCCGAGGTTCTCTCCCCTCCCTGCTGCTGAGCAGCCGGGAGCAGGGCCGTTTCACAGCTAGGGAAACTGAGGCAGGAGTCGCCCCTGCAGCCTGCCGGGAGTGGAGGCGTGGGGGCCGAGGCCCGCAGGCCGGCGCTCACAGGCTCCAGGCCACAAGTGGACCAGGACAGTGCTGGTCCTGGGGGCGCCCCAGCGGCAGGGCCCTGTGTCCCGGGTGAGCTCAGCCCTCCAGCTGGGGGGCGGCTCGGGCCTTTCCGTTGCAAACAGACTCCTGAGGGGGGAGGACGGGCTGGGAAACCCGAACCCAGGCCTGGTGCTTCTAGATCAGATGTCAGCTAAGACCAGGAGGCCAGGCCAGCGGAGCCCCGGGGAAGGAAAGTTACCCAGAGGCTCGGGGAACAACCTGGCTTGGCCAGTGCTGGGCCTCCGTCCTCCTGGGGAAAGGGGGGTGGGGGGCACCCACAAAGAAACTCCAGTGTCTGCGCCGGGGGCTTCGGCCTCTGGGCAAACTGCCACCCTCATAACTGAAGTCTGCAGAAAACATGAAAGCATTTTGAAAAACTAAAAAACCCATAGATGGCTTTAACCCCATCATTCAGGTAAACCTTGCCAACATTTTTATGTCTACTCCGTGACTTTGCTGCGTATGTTTACATATATTCTTATAAAAGTGGACACCGCGCGCTGTCTGTAGCCTGCTGCTTCCGCCCAACCACACGGCAGGCTCTGCTCGCCCAGGACCGAGCGAGCCCTCGGCGCGGGCGTCGAGCACGAATCCTTCCCTCTCCCCAAAGGCCCCGCGTAAGTGGTTGGTGGAGAAGCGCAAGGAGGCAGGTGGGGAGTGGGAAGAGAGGCCTCAAGAGACGAGATTTCCCAAAGTGGGGACGGAGGAAGCGGCCGGAGGAAGCGGCCGGAGGTGTGCGGCGCAGGCAGCCCCGGAATAGGCCCTGGGGGCGGGGCGGGAGCAGCTGCTGCCCCCCACGCGCAGCCCAGGCCCCCGGCTGAGCAGCTGGCAGCCGGCCCTGCTCCCTGTCCGGAGCCAGGCAGAGCTCCGCCAAACCCGGCGCTAACGCGGGGCTCCTGGAGCGGGCAGGGTTTCTGCGGGCGCCCCCCGCCCCCCGCAGCCTGGCCCCCGGAGGCCCCTCCCCGTTCACACCTCGGGAAAACGAAGCCAACCTTTCCCCGGGGGAGGGCCCGGGTGACAGGCGACAGGCGGGGAAGCTCCCTGGGGTCTCCTTTGTAAACAAGGGCACCCGCCCCTTCCTGCGGCTCCGCTAATCGCCCGCCAAGGCCCCACCTCCCAACACATCCCACTGGGCCTGCGTTTTCGGCCACGACTGTGGGGGGACGGCAAGGACAGTCCGTCTATGGCAAATTCTGTCATGGAAAATGCCCCGCCTCACGGTTTCCCACTGGTCCCGGCCAGTCTGGGAAGCACGTGGCACCTCCTTCGCTCTCCGGGGACAGTCCCTCCGGGCCGTCCCTCGGGCGCACGGCTCGCCGCGGCGTGTTCTGCCTGGGCCGCAGGGCCCAGGCTGGGCTCCAGGTTCTCCACTACGAAGCGGCCACCTGTCCCCCTGTGACTACTGAGTGTCCTGGGGGAGAACACTGAGGAGACACAATCTCGTCCCGTCTCCACATTTGCGCACGAGCCCCGACGAGCCCCGGCGCCCCGCCGGACCTGCCTGCGGAGGGATCCGCGCTGGGAGCCCGCTCGCCTCCTCCCCGCGCCCCTGTGGCCCGGGCACTTCTGTGAGGAGCGCCCTGCCCTGCCCTGCCCCGCCCCACCCCGCCTTTGTTTGCGTCACTGTGGCCTCGAGGACAGGCCTCGGTACATCACAGTCCGCAGCGCCCGGCCAGCCGCTGGCCCGCGGCGAGGGCGACCCGCACGTGGGGCACCGTCAGCGGAGCTAGAAGCGCGGGGCCGGGACAGGCAGCACCGCCCCGCAGGGCACCACGGCGGCAGCGCACCGGCGCCCTGCGCCAGGCCCCTCCCAGGGGCTGCGACACGCCCCTCGCTCCACGTCGGCCTAGGGAGACACGGCCTCGGACGTGACGCCCCGCGTCTGCGCATGCGCGCTCCATTGCACACCCTGCCCCGCCCCCGTGCCAAGCCTGGGTCACATGGCCGCGCCTCCCCGCAAGGGCCATTGGGAATGAGGGCTAGACCCTGCGCGTGCGCACGAGGCGAGGCTGCGGCGACAGGCGCCACCCGCTGGGGCCGGGAGGTCGCGGGAGGCGGCGGGGTAGAGCGGCTCCGAAGGGGTGGTTTCCAGTCTTGGAATTAGGCGTCGCCTGAGTGGCTGACCCCGGGAGCGGGGAGCGGGGAGCGGGCAGTGGCAGTCACGGAGCCGGGGTCCCGCCGCGCCGCCGTGGGTTCAGGGGTTGAGAAGAACCAGGCGCCGGGGGTGGCGGGGGCGGCCTGGGTGGTTGGAGCGTCGGCCCGTCCGGCCCGGTGCGGCGTGATCCGGTCAGGGCGCCGGCAAGAGGCGACCGGAGTGTAATAGCAACAGCGACCTCGCTCTCCATTCTCTAGAAAATCAATTTAAAAAAAAAAAGAAAAAAAGCAGAGGTGAGAGACCTGCCCTCTCAGAACTGCAAGACACTGAAGGTACAAATAAATGGAAAATGGTGCCTTACTCTTGGTTGGAAGGATTGTTAAAATGTCTTCACTTCCTAGAACCATAGATTCAGTGCATCCCTATCAAAATACCAAAGGCATTCTTCTCCGAATGAGAACTAACGCTACAGTTTATATGAAATCACAGAAGACCCCAAGGAGCCAAAGAACTGTTGACAGAGAACAAAGTTCAAGGGTTCGCGCGCCCCCCGATGAAGCTGCAGGAATCGGACAGCAGGGCACTGGCATACGCGCAGGCGGAGGGCAAGGGAAGCGGAGCCCGAGAGGAGCCCTCGGGGCTGTGGGCAGCGGAGCGGCGGCAGAGGCGGCAACACGTGAGGTCGGGCCGCTTCCTTACACCGGATACAAGAACAGACTCAGAGTGGATTAAATGTTTCAGTCTTCGGCTTAAAACCGTCCAACTCCTAGGAGACAGCACAGGCCGCGAACTCTCAGCGTCGCCTTGAGCAGCATCTCTCCGGGTACGTCTTCAGGCGAGAGCCATAAGAGAAAGGAAGTGCAGACATGGAACTGTTATCAGATGAAAAATTCTTTGCACAGCGAAGGAAACCATCAGCAACATGGGTGCCGAGGCCTTACGTGCGCTTCCTGTCCGCCACGCCCGCTGCCATTGGTCGCTGGCTCCTGCGACACCGAACGGCCGACCTAGGACAGAAGACGGGGCCTCCGGCGGGGCGGGAGGATGCGCGGCGCCCGGGGCGGGGGCCACGCCTCAGGGGCATCAGAGGCCCCTGCAGGGCGGACCACGGGGCCCCGCCGCCGGGTTCAGGCGGTCGGGGCTGAGGCCTGGACGCTGGCATTTGTTTGTTTATTCTCACCCCAGGACATTTTTTCATTAACTTGAGAGACAGGAAGGGGTAGAATCATCGCTGGGCCCAGGCATGTTCCCAGGTTGGGAATGGAACCCACAACCTTTCGATTTACGGGATGACGTTCCAGCCAACTGAGCCCGCCGGCCAGGGCGTACTGGGCGTTTCTGACAGGTTTCCGGGTGAGGCTGAGGGAGGAAAAGGCAGAGGATACAGAAGGCGAAGGGCAATTCGGGAACCCACACCTGAGCAAGACCGGGCCTGAAGGTTTCCTAAATCCCTGTAGCTGTCAATCATAGGAACGAGGCTCAGAGGGGACACACCCCGTGGGGCCAGGGCTGTGCATTCAGACCCCGCGCCTTCTCCAGGCCACTGTCCCCGGTCCCGACACTGCCGCCTCCCCACAGCGAGCCCGGGGGCCCCTGGCTGCCACCCTGCCAGTCTCTCACGTGGAGCTGCTGCCCCCTGGTGCGCACAGAGAGCTGGGCACCGAGCAGCGGCCGCCCTGCCCAGGCGCAGGCCCAGAAAACCCTGAGGCTGGCTTCCCAGCAGGCTGCATCTAAGGAAAAAACGAGCGACTTCTGGAAAAAAAAAGTTTATTAATTACCAAAACACATAAAGGCAGGCATATAAAATAATTACAATAAATACTTTTAATTAAGTTTCAAACACCAAACATAAGTGTTAATGTTTCATTGTTGGAAAATACAGCATTTCCTCCCTTGTATTAACATATGTATTTGGCTTATAGAAATAATCACTAGCTAAAATGAAATCTTTCAGGCACTTGGGTGTAAAAAGTGCTAGAGAATAAAATAGAATTTTACTTTACTGCTATTTATAAGACAGCAACCAAAATCTGATTAAATATCCTATTTTCCTATTTTCAAATTGTCAGCATTACTGATCTAAATAAAGGTATTTGGCTGAATAGGTCCACAAAACATTTTAAGTTCCAGTATATTTTTAAGTGGGGAAATTTTCACTGATAATAGTTCTTAAGATTTCACATTCCTTTAGTCTGTTCACTGAGGTATTTAGTTTCAGTAGGCAGAATCCAGAAAAAGAACGCAATTTCTTTTAAATCCTCTTGCCTTTTTTTTTTTTTTTTTTTTTCAGATGGTCAAGACCTTCCTTGGTGGGCATTTAAGCAGGACAGAAGCGGAAGTCCCTGAACCTAGTGCACGCAGCGCTGCGAGAAGCAGCAAGGTTGGGTCTGGCTGCCCGGGTGCAGAGCTGAGTCCTCATTTCAAATTAGCTGAAGACTCTGGGCAGATCTCCAGTGAACCATATAAACAGCACATACAAATAGAGAGCCACTCAATAAATGTTATTTCAGAAACTGCTGGGTTTGAAAAGTCCTGGGTATTTTTCTAAGGAAGTACATCCTCCTTGCTGGCAAAGCTGTCCTTCTCGTCCGTGCCCTCGGCTGTGGTGAGGTGCGGAGGCCACAGGGCCAGCCCCGGTGAGGGCGAGGGCCTGGCGTCCGTGCCCGGCGGCAGCGGCAGCACCGCGGTCATGGGGCGGGCAGCCCAGCTTGAACGTGCTGCAGGAGCTGCTCGCAGCGGGTGGGAGAGCGGTGCTTGTGGACCACAGCCTCCGTCTCCCTCGCCAGGAGCTCGGGAAACAGGCCACTGCCTGCTTTGAGTACCTCTGTAAAATAGCAAACACCCCCAAGATGCCAGAAATAAGTATTAAGCCAATACAAGGCCACAGAAATCAAAACAGCCTGGTACTGGCGTAAAAACAGACACACGGATCAGCGGGACAGAGGAGAGCGCCCAGAAACAAACCCACGCGCAGAAGGACTTAATTTACGAGCAAGGAGGCAAGAGCATACAATGGGGTAAAGGCAGTCCGTCCAAAAAGTAGGCAGATATGTGCAAAAAGCATGAAGCTAGACCACCCTCGCACACGGCGTATAAGAACAAATTCGAAAGGGACTAAAGACTTCAACACAAGGCCTGCAACCGCAAAACTCCTGGAAGAAATTCAGGCAGTAACCTCCTGGCACAGCTCTTAGCAGAGTCTGTCTGGATGTCTCTTCTGGCAATGGCAACAAAAGAAAAACAAACGGAACCACAGCAAACTAAAAATTTTTGCACAGCGCAGGAAACGTAAAACAGGGACACCCTCCTTGCCCAGTAGTTTGACTAGGAAAATACACCTTCCAAACACGCACTCATTTACATTCACGTGGAACGGGCTCCGTGAGCGCAGGCCGCCAGCGCGCTTACCCAAGACTGCGTCCTGGACGGCGCCCTCGGGGTCATCCAGGTACACGAGGAGCTCCTTGTACAGGTGCTGAATGTGACTCTGGTAGGAAGCCTTCCTGTCGTCCTTCCCGATGCACTGCAGCCAGGCCACCAAGGCGGAGGCTGCCGCCAGCCTCACCTCATTGGACACGTCATCCAGACGTTTGAGGAGCTCTGCAGGGCGGGCAGGGCGGGCAGGGCAGGGTGTGGGCCGAGGCGCCCGCACAGGCCTCACCCGGGCCCCGGGCCCACGCCCTGCACCCTGAGCACACAGGTGCAGGTAGGAGGGGGCGCCGTGGACACGGCGCAGGGGTGACCGGCCCGAGCCCCTCTGCACTCAGCCCCGCGTCTGCCTGGGGGCCCCGGCGCACTCGCCGCCATTATGCGCAGAGCGGAAGCCTGTCAGCCACAGGCGTCCTGCCTGGCTGAGCCCCTCCACCCGCCCCCGACCAGCAGAGGGCGCAGGAGGGGCCCCTGCAGGCCTTGCCCTCCTGACTCTGGGGACAGAGCTGAGGGCCTGGTGACATGATAGCCACCGACCCTGTCAGCTGCTTCTGCCAAGCCCCCAGGACGAGACCACCTGGCTGCCGAGGATAGAATCGCCACCTTCCCCCCAGGCAGGGTGTTCGGCACCGACGGGCCGGCTTTATCCCGTGCACGCTTTCCCCATACGACCTGCAGGAACCCTCTGGCCCCCAGCTGGGTGGGCTTTGGAGACTCAGCAGACACAGCATGGGGTGGGGGCAGGGGCGGCACCACGCACCGACCCGGCCACTACCCGCCCACCCGGGATTCTGGGTTGGCCAGCGCCAGGCTGCCATTTAGCCAGGGCACCGAGCTTGAGATTTCAGCAACCACTCTTCATTTCCAAGGACTCTTAAAACCACCTTTTTAAAATTACTAAGTATCTGTGGCATACAACAAGCCTGGGTAATGAGGAAAACTGGTTTAGGAGACGCAACTTCAGACACTGCGTGCCCCGCCCCCAACGCTCTGCCTCCCGCGAGGGCGCTGCCCCAGAAGCGTGCGCCTCACTCCCACGGGTCTTCCTGCAACAGGTGGTGGGCTTGTCCCACATGTTCTTCACCACTGTGTGCTGTTGTGACCCTCAGCTTCTTTCTGAGAAGCGTAAACACCTTCTAGCAAAACCACTCAGAGATGGTGGGCGACCCACGTTCGCTCCAGGGGTGGGGGCGCACCCTGGCTCCCTCCTCACGCCAGCCCCCTGCTCCTAGGGACCTGGGGGGCGGCCGCTTTGCTCACCGTTCCGCTCGGCGGCGGGGAGCCCACGCCTCGCCCAGGCCTGTGCACAGGCCGCGGGGCCCCTACGCTAGGGGGCTGCACCCTGGCTGCTGCAGGGACCCGAGCGCCCGCCCCGCCCCCGCCGGGCCCCGCCCCGGCTCTGGCCCCTCGGCCTGCTCCTCGCGGCAGCCATTCAGCGCTGCTGGGCATCACTACCCTCTCTGTGCTCTTAGCAGCAGCTTGGCCAGAAGTCAAAGTAGCATTTCCCGATTTTCCTATGAAAGGAACAGCTGTTAAACACACACACACGTGCTGTGGAAAAGAAAAATGTCCTACCAGGGTAAATCTTCATGAGTTTATCTGGATCGATCGCATCACCAGAGGTTTTTAAAAATGCACTGATGATTCGGCATGAAGTCAGTCGAGTCATCGGAGAATCTTCCTCCAGGGTGGTCAGAACCTGGGGCATCAGCGTCTCCTGCACCTCCTGTACCTGCGGTCGGTGCAAACGTGGAGAGGCTACGTTTCCACACTAATACCGCGGAGTCCGGGGCACTATTTGCAATTTCTACATAAGCAGATGGGAATGTGGATTTTAAAATCTAGATAACAATTTTTTTTTAACTTGGTCCATTGATGTTTTAAAAAAATCTGTCGTCCACAGAGTCTGAGGCCCAAGCCCCACATAGCCGGCTGCTTCCCTGTGCGGCTGCACCAGGTCCGAGGGAGCCTGGGACACGTTCACGTCAGTGAGAGCCGTCCTCGCAGGGGAGCCCCCGCCCCGAGGCGAGGCGCTGCCCCCAGGAGAGCAGGGCCCGAGGCTTTCACGCCCGCTCTGCGGTCTCCCCGACCCCCGTGCTGGCAGGACGGGGGGGGCGGGGCACACACAGCGCAGAGAGCCCAGGGCCGTCCGTTCGGCGAGTTCCTGCGACGGAAGCCTCTGCCTCGTGCGGAGCAGCGTTCCCCCTGTGTCAGCCTCACAGCCAAGGCCAACACCGGGCGGGCCCCAGACCTGCGCCCCCGGCTCGTCCCCCGGGCGGCTCCTCCCATTGCCGAGGCCCTTGCAGCACTGCCGCGGGCGCCTTCCTGCCGCGGCCCCGGAGACCCCGGAGACGGGCGAGCCCCCCCACCCCCGCCCCGACGCCCGAGTCCTACCTGTGTGGACGACAGCACCTCGCTGCTGAGGAGCGTCCAGAGGCAGGACACGGCGGCCGTGCGGATGGCCGCGGCCGTCCTCCCTGCTCGCCACTGCAGGTTGGGGGCCACCACGTCCTCTATCAGGGTGTCGAGGTGGCTGTGAAGCTGCCTGCAGAGGGAGGATGGGAGGCCGGTGAGGAGGCCAGAGGGCCACGCCCAGCACAGGTGGCAGACGTGAAGCCGGAAGCGGACGCCCGAGCGAGGGAGCCCTCCGCTCCCGGGGGTGGGGGCACAGCTGGCCGTCATCCCCCGGGCCCCTGCTGGCTTCTCCTGAGAACCCCGGGGCCCGGCACCCATGTGGCAGGGGCTGCGTCCGTCAGTCCCCCAGCTCTGAGGAGGACAAGCTACACCTGAGACACGTCACCAGGAGCGGCAACCGTCACTCCCATGTATGACGATCCTACGGACACTGCCCTACGGCCCCCACCACGCTCCCTCCACCTCAGCGAGGACCCCGGGAGTGACGCCACAGGGAGACGTGGATGTCCCTCCAACCCACAGGGGCTTCGTCTCCACGGTGACCTGCCAGAGACGTGCCATCAGGACAGAAACGGAGTGGAACCCCAGCCTGCCGCCCGGTGTCTCCGTGCCGCAGGCGCCAGGCTCCTCGCAGTGCCCCCCAGGGACAAGCCGCCACGGGCCTCTGCGCACAGGCCGCGGCGTGTTTTCCGGAACGAGCAATTCATTCACTCGTTTGCCAGCATTACTGCAAAGCCCAGGTCAAAGGCGGCTCCGCGCTCTGGCCCCAGCGTTGAGAACACCTTGGGCGCAGACTGCCTGCCGTGCGGGGCCGCAGCCTCCAGCAGGGGGCACTGCTGGGCCAGCCCTGAGGGGCAGCCGCACACCTGGAAAGTGTGTCTGGTTCAGGATGGTTTACTCGCGTTCAGTTCGGTCGCCCCTGTGTTGCATCATAGGGAACTGCTGTTTGCTGCAACGTGACACACAGGAGGGCTCTGCAGAAAGACCGAACCCTGCGCTTGTCTCCGAGGCGGTCCCCTGGCGTGGCCAGACGACCTGAGGGGCAGTGCTGGCCCCCCGGAGACGCGCAGTGGGTGTGCGCAGCGCCCAACTCGTCTGAGAGGCCCTCCGAGGCGCGAACGTGCTGGGGAGTGAAAGCACCCAGCTTGCAAAACACGGATTCCATCGTGCACAGAAGACACACGGGGTCCGCGCCCAGTGCCCAGCCGACGACGAAGCAGGTCGGAGCTCGCCCGCCGCCGCCCGCGAACACGTGCCCTGGGGGCCTCCCGCCCGGGGCCGTCACGGAGAAGTCGGGGCAGCAGGACCGGCCCGAGGGCACGCCGCTCAGGCTCTTGTTCCGAGCGTGCTGCCCCCTGTGCCCCAAGAATGGGACGGCCTATCCTCCTCCGGGACCTGGGCGTCCCTGCTGCCGCCTCAGAGCTTCTGTTGACTGGGAGGCCGGTGGAAACGCCGGGTGCGAGCCACACGCCCCCCCGCCCCGGGCAGAGCCCGAGGACGGACACTGTGACAGATGGGCGTCAGCCATGGCTCCCGTTCGACTGCGTCCGTTCCAGTGAGTCAACACGTTTTACAGTCACCACTTCATAATGCTAAGTGGTCAAAACCAGGCGGGTGTTGTTTAACCTTCCCTGCCTGTAAAGAGAGCCAACGTTCCCGCCTGAAGAGCTAAATCGAACGACTTTCTTCTCCCAATACTGACGCCCTTCAGCTCGAAGCTCAGCGCGGCTTCTTTCGGGAACTTCGTCCCAACTGCAGAGTAACCGTCCCTGGGGACAGGGCTGAGCAGCGGCTCCAGGCAGACGGGCTTGCAGGGGGTCCGGGCGAGGAGGGTCCGCCTGCTGCCGGGAAGGCAGCCAGGGCTGCACTCAGCTGCTTTCACGGTCCCTGCTGAGCCCCGAGTTTCTGCGGACGAGCCGGAAGCCAGCGTTCCTGCAGCAAGACGTCAGGCTCGAGGCCCAAGGGCGGAGTGCTCGGTGCGGCACCAGGGAAGAAGGGTCTGCCGACCCTGCCCTCTCGCAGGACGCGTCTCCGCTGTCGGTGGCGGCGTGAGCACAGCGGGGCTCTGCCCTGCCCGGGCGGCTCCCTCCGGGGACGGCCCCCAACAGCTCGCAGCCGCTGCCCCGGCCGGATGCAGGCCCGCAGGCCCCGCCCTGGCCCGTCGGCTGAGTTACCGGCTCCCCCGGCCCCCAGGGGTCTCAGGCCCCCTTCCTTCCCTTCAGAGCCGGCCCCCGGCAGCCCGTGCTGCAGCCTGAAAGCCCTTCCGCAGGCTCCCCCATCCACGGGGATTCCATCAATCCTCTGTTAGGTTTGAACGGCACCGAAAAGCTTTTAAACCGGAGAACAGCTAATACATAAACCATTAATAGTTAATGTTCCCTGAAACTTTTTCACTCAATGGAATTTTAATGGCCACACTAAAGCGCCTTTGATTTAGTGCCTCCCCGTGCGGGGCACTCACCGCCCTGACCTCGCTGTTTGCCTGGGGACATGACTGTGGCAGCAGGGGCCACCCTGGCTGCCGCCTGAGCCCTCCGTGGCGGGGGCAGCATGGGGCGACCGCAGCGGGGGGTGGGGGCCACGTACCCTTGGGAGTCCAGGGTCTCCTTCGCTCTCAGCAGCTCCCGGGACAGGAGGGTGAAGAGCTTCAGGCGCACCTGGGGGTCTCTGTCGGGCTGGAGGCAGCTCCGGAGGATGGGGACCAGCTGGGGCAGCGCCTCCCCGAGCGCTGGACCTGCAACACAGAGCAGAGCGCCTGTTCCTGCCCGTCACCGAGACGGGCGGGCCCTGCCAGCGGCAGGGCGAGGGTCCCTTCTGCAGGACCGACCGGGAGTCACTGAGAACGCTCAGCCTCCGACTAATCATCCAGTTTGTAAACTACTTTCTTACATTTTTCCAAGTTCTTAAAAAATTAAAGTCAAACAATGAGTTAGGTATCAACCAAAATCGATCAGGTAAGCTGTTCGCTGCCCACACTGGCTGCTCGGTGGGGGAACGCGGCGCATCTCCCAATGCCGCCGGGGCTTCGGGTGCAGGCCATGGCGCCTGGCACCGGAACCCCTGGAGCCGTGACAGAGCGCAGACACAGGCTTCGAGTCACAGCATCCCCGCTCCCGCCACGTGCCAGGCCGTGCCCGCTGCCAACTCCCGTCCTTGATGACGGAGGCCGCCTGGAACTCCCGGCTCCCGGCGCTTTGCCGATGCCCACGGCTGCCAGGCAGCAGGCAAAGCGCCTCCAGCCTCACGCGCCTCCAGCCGGAGATGACCCAGCGGGACGGGGAAGTGGCCGGAGGGGGTCAGTGCATCCACCCGGAGCTGCACCAACCAGAGACGCCACGGTGGCTGTCAGGCGGGACGCGTCCACACGGTGAGTACCATGGGTTCATGTAGGTCGTCCCAGCCTGTTTAAGTCTGTGCAGAGACGGAAGCTGGCGGCTCCCTGTCCAAGGAGGAAACACCACCCGCCCACCTGCTTCCTGCAGAGAGGACAGGGCAGCCGGCGGGTCCCACCCCCCGCCACAGATGGAAACACACGTCCTTCCCAACACCTGACATCAGCATTAAACAAGTGCTCCCACTAAAGTGAGGCAGGAAACGCGCGACCGTGGGTCATGACTCATGGTCTAGGAGGCACCCCCAGGGACCCCCACGTGTGTGCGTGACACCCAGCAGGAGCCAGTCCCTGGGGACATAGCGTGTCTCGGGGTGGGCGGGCCACTCGGGGCCTCGCTGGAAACCACCGACTCTTTGAGAAGGCTGGGAGCTTGTGGCCCAGACGCATCACAAAGGTCACCGATGCGCAGTGTCACCGTGAGTGAAAATGCCGGGGAGTGTCCAGGGCTGGCAAGGGGCCGCCCCGGGGCCGCCCCTCCCCGCGGCCGGCCCTCCTGACCACCGGCCCAGCCCTTCTCATCTGGCAATCAGTTTTTTCTCATTGCCCTTTAAAGTGAGTGTGTCCAGCAAGGCCTTCACACAGCTGGGTCAGGCTGGCGCTCGCAGGCAGGGCGGGGCCGGGCCCAGAGGAGCACGCTGAGGCTCGGGAGCGGGCGGCCGCCGCCCCGCGTGTCCGCTGGCATCGTCCCCACACGCCCCACTTCCAGGCCTGAGTTGTTTTTTTTTCACCTCTCTGCATTTTAACAAACTGGAAACAAGGCATCTTCTGGCAGAAACAGAGAACAGAACATAACCTCCACGGTCAAGGTCGTCCCTGGGGCCACCGCCCCTGCCCACAGACGCGGGAGGGGCCCGCTGGGGGTTTGAGGTGGGACACTGGCCGGTGTGCTGAACGCTGAACAGACAGACCCCCCAAACTGGAGCTTGCTCCTTGGACGCTTCCGCGTGTCTTCCCAGCATGCTCCTCGCTGAGGACGTGCGGAGGGCTGCCTGCAGCCCACCTCCTGCGGCGTCGCAGCACGTGTGCTTCCTGTGTCGCCCTGAAGGCTTCAGTGGCTGTCATGGTGCCGGTAACTTCCTGTAAGGTGTTTGGGCCCCTTCCAATTTCTGCTGTTAAACATGCGGTTGGATGTCGCCGGCACCTGGCTTTCTCCCTCATTAGCGTTACTTCCTCAGGACAGATGCCCAGCAGCGTGACTGCCGGACGGCAGGCTCGGGAGACATGGGTGACCCTAGAAGCATCAACTCTGGCGCCGCCCACTGCCGCTGGGCACACCGCCGCGGCTCCCGGTCCGCACCACCGCGGGTGCACTGTTAACTGTGGGCCTGATTTGATAGACGGAACATGGCTTCCCGGTTCAAACCCACACTTCTCCACCATGAACGGGCTGCATTTCCCCGCCTGGGCCCCGGACGCGGCGCTCTGCCCTGCGTGGGGCTCCTCCGGAAGCGCGGCCTCGCGCTGGACCGCGGCTGTGAGCTCCCGCCTCGCTCCTTCGCAGCCCCCGGCTTTCCAAAGCTCAGACAGTCACATTTCTCCGTGTATAAATATTTTACAATCAAACTGAAAAAAATATCTTCCCACAGAACTTTTGTATATAAGAAATAGACGGAATTTACTGGGTAAAAGATATTTAACTGCTTTGTTTCCTGTTCATTACAGCCGTACGTGCTCCATGAAGAAAACTTGGAAAATACAGGAAAGCGAAGCATAAAGAAGAACGCAAGCATCCCCCACACTCCCAAGCACCGGGTGAAGCAGGCCGACTTCCTCTGAGACTCCGCGCACAGCCGCGCACGTCCTGCACACGTGCGAACAGCGGCACGCGCGCACGCCCCACAGGCACACGCACGCACACAGGGCACCAGGGGAAGCCCAGCTGGGGCCGCTGAACTGCAGCTCTGAGACCAGCTCTCGTCGCTCACCCTTACGCTGTGAACATCCTCCTGCTGAGACGTGGGATGGGGGCCCACGTAGGTTTGTCTTCCAAGGTGTCAATCAGTTACGCTCCCACCATGAAAGATCCTTTTTAAAATTCCAAGTCGGAACAGCAGGTCTTAGGAGACCCCGCGGGCACGGCACACTCGAAGCCTGGCTTTCCCGTCTGATTTGTGAAATTGTTTGGGAAACGTTCAGCACACACTCGAAACTGAATACGCCCGGCCCAGTGAGGGGCCCGGGGGAGGGGCGAGGGAGCTCTCTGGCTGGGCAGCACCCGCTCAGCAGCCTCGGCCACACAGCCGCTCCCAGCAGAGGAGCGCGAGGCTGGGCGGCCGGGGAGCGGCGTCTGCCACGGGGGCCGGCGCCGGCCTTCAGACGTGGAAACGTGGTTTTGCATACGGCTGACAAGGGACAGTTTTGGTTTGTCCCAGGTCTCGCAGCGTCAGGGCCCTGAGGAACCGCGGTCAGGTGAGGGCACTGTCCAGGGACAACCACCGGCTAGCAGGAGGCCCGGCCGCGGCGACAGCAGGGACCCGGCGGCCCCGGATCTGCCCCAGCACCTGCTGCAGCCGGGGGAGGGAGGGGACGGGGGGCGGCCTGAGGCTTCCAGGACGGAGATCGGCTCTGAGAGGCTCGTGGAGACACAGCTGACTTCTCCACCAACTCCGCCCCCCGCCCCGAACAGCACAGGACACGCAGGGCGGGAACGCAGGGTCACAGGTGTTCGGAGGGAACTACAACAATCGATAAGTAACACGAGAGAGAACTGTTTTGCATCCTCACGACTATGAGCCTACTTTGGTCCCCACCCCCGTACGTAGCAAATCACTACACAACTGTACGGAAAGCCTCACTGCATTTTGAGGTGTACACGCCACCTCTGTGCCTGAGAACCAGGGCGCGGTGCGGCTCGCTCCGGGGACAGGTCTCCCGGGCGCTGGCGGAGGACCCGTGGGCAAGGTGAGCCTGGGGCTCCCACAGCCACGCCACCGCCACCCGCTGCCGCCGAGCTCCACACAGCCCGGGACACGTCCGAGGATCACAGGCCACGCAAGAGCCCCGTCCAGCTCCAGCGCGGCTGGCTCAGCCTCCCACGCGCCCACTCTGCCCGGGGGGCGGTGGCTGGGCGTAGCTTCCGGACAGTGGCCTCGGCTCAGCGCAGTCGCCGGGGCACCGGGCTCACCTGCGTGGGCGAGCAGCACACCGAACTGCTGCAGCTCCGGGGAGTGCACGGTCCAGTCCTGCTGGGAGCCGGCCAGCCATGCCAGCAGGGGGCCCACGTGCTCGCGGTAGAGGTCCTGGCTGCCACCTCCGCCCTCTGCCGCGGCCAGCGCGTCCATGGTCTCCTGAACCTGCAAGTGCGGGGCACAGGCTGGACAATCCCCTTCCCTGCTCAGAGCCCCCGCGCAGCCAGCGACCGCTGGGGTCGCCAGGTCCCCTGTCCCCGAGAGCAGGGAACAGAACGAAACCCCAGAGGCATGTCCTGGGGACCCGGGGCTGCAGGTCCCGGCCCCCCTGGATTCCGCTCCGGTGACAGCAGCGCCAGCCGCACCCCAGTCACGAGGCAGACGGGCGCGTGGTCACAGGGCGTGCGGCCCGAGAGCAGCCGCGAGCTCCCCGCAAGCCCCCAAGTCGTCCTCACGTCCTGCAGAGCAGAGGTGGGCGCCCGGGGGGGCTTCAGGACTCTGGACAGGCTTGAACTATGCGGGCAACTGCCCGACACTAACCTACCGGGGCTGGGCAAGGACACCTCCTTCCCCACGGACACCCCAGGCAGCTGGAGGGGCCCGGGGCCTGCGTTCCCCCGAGGCCGCTCGCCGGGACTCAGCGCTCGTCTCCGAGATTCACAGGAGCGGGCGGCCCCGCGGGCTCACCTGGTCGCTGAGGCCCGAGGCCCCCGGGAGCGCCATCACGGTCAGCAGCACCTGCAGGAGCGGCAGGCCGCACCCCCGGCAGTCTTCGCGGCCCCCGGCCACCACGGCCCGCACGCACAGCAGCAGGTTCTCCCCGTAGTGCAGCTGCGGACAGAGCGGGAGGGCCGTCAGCCGCCGGCCCCGGGCCCACGCCGGCCGCGCCGCAGTGCCGGCCGCGGAGCCCAGCCCGTCGACCCTAAGCGGCGTTTTTTAGACAACAGGCAACTGAGCAGACTGGGACTCCACGGACCCGTTACTTCGGGTAATTGCTTACTGGTTTTTCCCTCACGTTTTTAAAAGTTCTCACGTGTCAGTGACACTACGTGGTAGCAGAGCGCCCACTAGTGAAGTGAGCAGGCCCGTGCGTTTGCTCCGGGGCACCCCCCACCCCACGCGAGGCTGAGAAAAGGGGAGCATAGCAGGCCGGGCGAGAACGCCGGCGGCGGCCCCCGTGGAAGCTGGAGACGCGTGCCCGGGGCGTTCTCCTGGACTTACGTGCACCTCAACGTTTCCGTGACGCCGCGTGGTCGACAAAAACGAACTCCCCCGCGGCACAGCGCGGCCTCCCGAACGGCACACGGCCGCCGGGGCAGGCCCAGCCTCTGCCTGCCGGCCCCGCGGGCGCCCCAGGCGGCGGTGACCTCCCAGCCCCGACCCTCCCACAGCCCAGTCGCTCCTGGGCCTGGGCGGCTGGTTTTCTGAGCGTGACTGTCTGGCTTCTGAATGGCCCCTAACCTCTGCCTGCAGGGCCACCATCCGCAAGCAGCCCTTCAGCACGACCCGCGCTGTTGGCTCCGCCGGGACCACCACGGCGGCTCGGGGGAGACAGGCGCGTTTCTCTGTGTTTAACAGGAGAACCCCCAACGTCTACTGACACACACGCAGTGCGGGAATGAAAAACAGACACAGTGGGAGTGGTCGCAGTGGCTTTGTTCCGAGCAGGGGCTCTCCAGGGACAGTGCGGGACAGTCACGTCCGCGGCGGCGGAGGCGGCGAGGAGCCCGTGACTGGGAGAGTTACCCCGATGTCGCCACGGCCTCCTCGGTCCAGCCACCAAACCAACATTTCGATGAGGAGGATGGGCTCCCTGCGCTGAGCCCGGGGTCCTCGCGGGGGGCGGGGGGGATGCCTGGGGCCACCGCCCGCCAAGCCTCGCCCACAGCTCCGCACGCCCCTGGGGGCCTCTGTTTCACACGGGGGGGGGGGGGGGTTCAGGTTTCAATTGTTTCTTGAAAGACATCATGGTCTGTTTTTAAGGTACTGCAGGGGATTGCAGAAACGCGAGCTGCTTCTGAAGGACGTGTGCTCCCACTCGTGTATGCACACACATTCACACCTGCGTGCGTGTGCACAGACACGCACGCTCACACAGACACACACGTGCCCGCGCGCACCCAGGCCAGAGCAGGGCGTGGCTGAGGCATGGCCTCTCTGTCGCCCGGCAGGAGTGCAGCGTGAGTCCAGCCTCGACCCGCGGGCGCCCCGCACGTGCAGAGACGCTCCTGTGAGGGGACTGGGTTAGAAGGGCGTCTCCCCGCCTCCAAAGGACCACGGAGGCTTCCCTGGGGACACTGGCTGGTGGCCACGGAGCCACACACAGAGCCCGAACTCGACGGGTGACAGTGGGGTCCCCGACCTCCAGGCCGTGGGCCAGGACTGGCCGGGCCTGTCAGGAACCGGGCCGCGTGGCAGGAGGTGAGCTTGGGTGCAACCACGCGAATTTCCGGAGCCCCCCCGCCCCCCATTTGTGGAAAAATCGTCTCCCAGGAAATCGGTCCCCGGTGCCAAAAGGCTGCGGGCCGGAAAGGCCAGGCTGTTCTGTAAGCAACACCGAGACCCGAACGACATCTTCTTGGCCGCGGAGCGTGTAGGGCGCACATCCAAACCCCACCGCAAACTCCCAGCCGTGCCCTCCCAGAGGTGAACGCTCCTGGCTCGCGCCAGAACCACGTCTGGGAAAAGGGAAGCAGGGATATCATCCCCTGGAGTGGAGGCGGCAGCCGCCAGCGCGCCTTTCAAAAGGAGGCGTCCCCTCTGTCCCCCTGGCTCTGCGACTCGGATCCCGCCCCGCAGCTGCATGGACCGGCGCCCCCCGCTCTCACCTTCTCGGACCCGTGCCGGATGGGAGCCCCGGCCAGCTCCGCGGCGATGGCCTGCAGGTGCGGCCGGAGGGCTTCCCTCGGGCAGCCCTGGATGGCCGAGGCGAGGACCAGGAGGCCAGCAGCGGAGGGCGACTTCTTCAGCATCGGCCACAGCAGCTTCAGGAACACCTCGGGGCTGACGAACGTCCCGATGAGCTCCGCGGCCCCGGCGCACTGCGGGGACAGGGCGCGGGGCTAGAGTGCGGGCGCCCCGGCGCCCCCCGCCCCTGGTTCTAAGGCAGCAAGTGCGGCGGGCGGGAGCGCGTGGTGCTGCAGAGGGCGCACGGCCCGGGGGCGGGGGGGCGTGGGGGCGGGCGCACGCTGGGGCTGCCCCGTGCGACGCCGCGCGGGGGCCGCTGGGACCGGAGCGCCCGCGAAGTCGGGACCTGCCGCCTCGTGCGACGGGAAAGGCCACTCACGCTGCGCACCACGGCCGGCTCCTCGTCCGCGCAGGCCAGCAGCAGGGTCCGCAGCAGGAGCTCCAGGTGCTGCGTGGCGTGGTCCTCCGCGTGCAGCAGCAGCGCCGCCAGCAGCCGCGCGGACTTCACCCGCGTCCCCACCACCCAGTCCGTGACGTCGTGACAGACGGCGGGGAGGACCCTGCAGAGGTTCCTGAAGACGAGCTCCCGGCAGCCCAACCCCGGGCGGCGCTCTGGACGAGAGACAATAAACCGGGACGTTCGTGGTTAGTGAGGAAAGAAACTCAGGGCGCGCGCGGCAGCCGGCGGGCTCGTCCGCGGCCCTGAAGACGCAAACCCACTCGCAAGGCAGCAGTGGAGGCGGTGTCGGGATTTACTCCAGGGTTTTACAGCGCGGTCCGACGCCCGGACACGCCCGCGCTCCGTGGCTGCACCCAGAGGACAGACACCTCCCGGCACCGCAGACGCACTGCTCGCTGCCGACCGCCCGACGGTGGACGGCACGGTGCACGTCTCGTTCCCTGGCTCCCTTCACTCTGCCGTCACCGGAGACCCGCGAGGGCTGAGCGGGCCTCCCGGGCACAGGGAGAGCAGCTGTCAGTCTCCGGCTGCAGGCACCGAGCCGTCTGCAGGGCTGCAGCTGCGAGAACCGCCAGGACGCTGCTCCCACGGGTCAGGGTGGGCACCGCGCAGGGCGGTGGCTGGGGCACACTCAGAGTTCAACAAACTGCCAGTTTTCCAAAGCGGCCGCACCGTCGCATGCCGGTAGCGCGCGCGCCCGCGCGCGGGGAGGCCGGTCTGGCCTGGAGGCGGCCCTCGCCGGCGGGGTCCCACCTGCCTTCCCTGATGACTGCCGGCGGTGCGTCTTCTCTGAGGAACTGTGTTCAAATCCTCTTTGCTCACTAAAAAGTCAAAATTTTTTTTTTAATCCTCCCCCAAGGGTTTTTTCATTGCTTTGAGAGGGAGGGAGGGACAGCGGGAAACACTGATTCGAGAGAAGCATCGATCAGTTGCCTCCCTATGCACCGGGACCACGGATGGAACCCGCAATAGGACACGCTCTAACCCACTGAGCCTCACCAGCCAGGGCTGGACCGTTTCCTGATCGCTGGGTTTTAAGCATTTTCTCTGTAGTCTGGATACAAGCCCCTAGGCACGCACTTTGCAAAAACTTTCTCACTCTGTGGCTTCTTCCATTCTCGGAACAAGGCCTTCCACAGAGCAGAAGTTTCTGTCTGGATCGGGTTCAATCTGTCCCGCCATTCTCCTGCGGGGGGCGCTGCCGACGACGTACCAAGGGAGGCTCTCCCATCTCAAGGCCCCGAGACCTCATGCTTGAGGGTTCACGGCTTCGAGTTTCACCTCTAGGCCCTCACACGAGGACAGGATCCCACCCCCGCTCACCGACCAGGCTCTGGGCCCTCCGCCAAGGTCGGCCGCCCGCCTGTGCGCGCCCGAGGCCAGCTCCTGCGTGCCCTCATCTGTCCGTCCCCGGTCTTTGTGCGGAAGGCGCACTGGGCGGCTCCTGGCCTCCGTGCCCACAGCACGGATGCCGGATGCAGCAGCGACTCCTCACCCAGGGCGGTTTCTGGCCTGAGGGCATACGTGTTTTTCCTTCATTTACGTTTAGCGTGTTCACCATCATTTGCCCAACAGGTGCAAGGCCACCTTCACAAGAACAAGTTAACGTCACACCAGCTGAGCTCAACCACTGCAGCTCCAGCCATGAGGTGAGTTCAAGTACCGACCGGGAACTAAAATTTCCGAAGTCGAAAATTCCTAAATGTCCAGTGAAGCACCATTACACCTTATTTCTCCCCTTGGGTGTGTGTCCCAAGTGGCTTCCCCTGGTTAGGTAAACAGTACACAGAACTTCAGGTGTAAACAAGCAAGACCTCGCCAAACTTAACTGGACCCGGGAGAGGCCTGCTGACCACATGCCAGCACAGGTGCAGCGGCCAAGGGCGGACCCACACGGGGACAGCCTGGCTGGCGGCCAGCGACCAGGGCAGCCTCCCAGGAGCCCCCGGCCCCTCGGGGAAGCGCCCCCTTTCAGGGAAGCTCCGCATCAGCTCAGAGCTGCGGCCCGAGCGGCCGGCCGGCTGTTGGCGGGGCTCGTCTGTCCTGGGAAAGGGCTCCCCGCACCCCTGGGGCGCAGCGGCGGCTGGGCTGAGGCAGGCGGGGGCCCCGAGGGCTGCCCCCGGGGGCAGCGCAGGGCCCCACCCGGGGAGAGGGCCCCCGTGAGTCCCTGTCCTGTGCATCACGGGGCAGGGAGTCCCCAGGAAACGCGGGGTGCACACAGCCTGCCTGCAGGGCCCGGCCCCGCGGGTCTGCTGACGCGGCGCCTTCGCTGCCATGCACCCGCTCGCGAAGGCCGAGCCGAGGGCAGGCCAACCGCAGAGTGGCGCCGTCGCGGGCACCCCCATCGCCCCCAGAACCGCTCACCTGCTTCCTGCGCCTACCAGGGATTTCACGTACATGAGTTTCTGTTACTAAAGCCTGATGTTGCTGAGGTCCGTCCACATGGCCGCGTGTTAGCAGAACTTCTTTACTTTCATGGTTAAACAGTGCCCATGCACGGAGGGCTCGCAACACGCGCGTCCACGGGGGGACCCGGGCCGTTTCCAGCGGGGCCCTGGCGATGCCCGGCTGTGCGAACAGTCACCGTCGCAGGCAGACACGGGCTTCGTTCTGCCGAGCACACGGCGAGCGGATAACAGTCTGGGGGGCGCCGAGCCGCTTTCCGCAGCGTCCGCCGCCGCCGTGTGTGCGGGCCCAGAAACTCCTCTGCAGAGCTGACGGTTTTGGCTTAGAAGCAACGTGAGGCCTTCGCTCGGTCGCAGTAGCAGCGGACGAAGTCCCGCGCCCACGGGGCCCGGAAAGCACAGCGTCACCCATGAGCCCTCCCTGCACCAACGTGGCTGCCGCCCTTCCGCGCCAGCGGGCGCGTCGGCACGTGTGTTCAGCACGTTCAGCAGGGCGATGGCGGCCGCCCGCCGAGTTACAGGGCCCTCACCGGCCGTGTGTGCACAGTGCGCACTCCGTGGGTGCCACACACTAAGTGTGCACAGGCAGTACGCACCGCACCGTGTGCTAAGTACACGCTGCACAGAGCACAGTCCTCCTGGGGTGCCGAGTCTCCACGTGCAGCCTAGCGGCCACGCGCCCTGCGCACGGCACGCGCAGTGCCTGGCGTCTGGTGCCACCTCCTTCTCTGGGGCGGGGGCGGTTGGGTCCTGCCGAATATCCCTGGTGACAGCGTGCTTTGCTACCTCATTTCTCCTGCTGCCTAACGACTTCTCCTAGCCCTGAAGCCACCTCCTGCCCCGCTGGCTTAGGCTTTGCTGCAGGTCTGCATGGGCGCCCGGCTCGTCCGTCCCTGCTGCCGTCAGTAGCGCGGGCCTCGGGTGCGCGGCCCGGGCGCCGGCCCAGCGGTCTTGGGGAGCTCTGGAAGGACGGGCCCGTCCCCTCGCTTTGTTTCTTAAGCACGTCTCCCCTGCCCCTTAGATCGGGGAAGGGTCAGCAGAAAACCCGGGCAGGCCGGTCAGACGCGCACGGAGCATTAACTCAGCTCACAGTGGGCGCAGTTGGGCGACGTGCAGTCTAACTGCAAGCAGAGAAACAGACCATCGGTTTCCTCGTGTGCTCACCCGAGGCCAACAGCAGCGGTGCCGGGGCCGCGTTCACAGGCCCGCACCATCGGCAGCAGGCCCTGCTGTGCGCAGAAGCAGCGCCTCCCGGGACTCGCCTCGCGATCGACCTCCCCCCGACCCCGTGCAGGGGCTGGGGGGCCCACTGAGAAGGGGATTAGGGAGCGACAAGGAGCTGCACCTGCCTGGACCTGAGACCCTGCCCTGTCGCGTGCGGGCCCTGGCGTGCCCGGGCGGACAGGCCCCCTCCCTGCTGGGAGACAGCGCGCGGGCCCTGAGCACGGGATGGGCCCGGCCCCCCCCCCCCGCCCCACAGCGGGCAGTCAACGGTCCCCCGCCCACGCGGGCCTCGGCCCCTCCTGTTTCCTCAGCGCAGCGCGGCATAGGTGACAGCTCCTGTTCAGGCCTCTTTCCCGGTCCTTTCCAAACACCTGGATGACACAGAAGCCGGGCGGAGCCGGCCTGAGCCCCGGGGGGGACGAGAACACACGGGGTACCACGCGGGCGGCCCTCCGCGCCACAACGGGGCCGATTCAGCGGGACGCCGCCACTCGCCTCTGAGACCGGTGAGAAAGCCAAGTGCGTTCTCTTGCGTGAGAAGGCCTGGCAAGCCGCCCACCGTTACGGAGAGAGGCTTCCTTTTCACTCGAGTGTTGCCAAGGACAACAGTCTCCACAGAAGGGCGATTTCAAAGCCGAAGGCCCCCCGAAGGCAGTCACCCCCGATCGTGGGCGGGCCTGGCTGCAGGCACCTGTGCGGCCTGCCCTGGGGACAAGCGCTTTGTCAGGCGAACACCTGCGCGTCTTCCCAGCACGCGGCTTTGTTCACAGGCGGGGATTCATTTCCGTGTCGTAACAGGAAATCCACACCTTGTTTCCTTGGGAAAGGGGGAGACGGGCGCCGATGAGCCTGGCCCAGGTGCGCCCCGTTTGACAGGCCTGACGCCCGAGCAGCGTCTCTCAGCAGTGAACCGTCACCTCATCAAAGCTGTCTGTCCAACGGCTCCAGCCTGAGCTTCAGCCCCGGTTAGACCACCCGCCGCACAGGTCCTCGCCGGGCCGACTCCGCACCTGGCACACCTGCTCCAGGGGCTGGGACGCAGGCACGGGCAGGTCCGCCCTCTTGGAGCAAGACGGTGAGAGCCAAAGCCGCCGCTGAACAGCAGCCTGATGTCAGCTGGAGGAGGGGGCAGGGGAGCACAGCGCCCCCAGGCCGCCACGTGGGGACAGCTGGGGACCAGGAGGGAAGAGCCGCACCGCATGAGCCTGACAGGGGACCGCGTCCGGGACGGACAAAGAAGTCTCGAAACTCCTTAACAGGAGGAAAAAGAACCCGACTCAAAATACGCACAGAGAGCTGAGCCGGCGCTGAACCAAAGACAACGTGTGTAACCCAGGAAACAATCCCATGAAAAGATGCTCAGCGTCCTATGTGGTTAGGGAATCGCAAATTACACCCGCCACGCGACTGCGCCTCGTACCGACAGGGCGGCGAGGCACCCCCGCACGCCGCGGGCCCCGGGAGCCGCAGCGCCTGGGACCACCCGCCGGTGCGTGGTCACCCACACGAGGCGAGCCCCCCGCCCACCCCCCACGGCTCAGCGCCTGCCCCAAAGAGGACACAGCCGCACACAACCTGTGTGCAGGTGCCGACGTCAGCCGCACACGGAGTCACCCCACAGGCAGCGACAGGCACAGAAGCGGGGCATCGGGGGGAATGAGGCCCAGCGGCAAGAGCCGACCGCCTGGGACAGGACGGGAGCTGGGACGGGAAGGGCGTCCCGGAAGCGGCAGGGCCCCTGGCGGGCCGGGCGGCGTGAGCGGGGGCCGCGGGGCTGAGGGCAGCTCGAGGGCGCGGGGCGGGGCCTGCCAGGACGCGGAGCTGCTCCGCCGGGAAAGGGCGCATCTGCTCATGTGAATCCGCCACAGTTTTAACAGGCAGCCTGTCCGAGGGGCTGCAGTGTGGTCTCGGGGGAAGAGACGCCACAGGGCCCGAGGCCAGGCTGCTGGCGGGCCCGGGGCCGTGAGCTCAGCGACGGCCCCCGCGAGGCTTCAGGGCGAGGCTGACAGACGCGGACGCGGGAGATGATGTTTAAACAAACACCGGAGCCCCGGCTGGCACGGCTCCGCGGACGGAGCGCCGGCCTGCGAAGCCAAGGGTCACGCGTTCGATCCCCAGTCGGGGCGCAGGCCTGGGTTGAGGCCAGGTCCCCAGTGGGGGGCGCGCGAGAGGCAGCCACACACGGACGTTCTTCTCCCCCTCTCCCTTCCCTTCCTCTCTCTCTGAAAATAAATAAAATCTTAAAAATATTTTTTGAAAACTTATTTAAAATTCCGACTTTAGCCCTGGCTGGTGTGACTCAGCGGCTCGAGTGCTGGCCCATGGACCAGAAGGTTGCTGGCTGGGTTCCCCGTCAGGGCACATGCCTGCGAGGGTTGCCGGTTGGGGGCACACGAGAGGCAACCAATCAGCAGCCAAGGGCTATTTCTCCTCTTTCTCCCTCCCTCCCCCTTTCTCTAAAAAGCAAATCCATAAAATCTCTAGGGAAAAAAACCTCAGATTTTAAAGAAGAAAAAACAATTTTAGGGGAAAACGCCAGGAAGCTAGTAAGAGCGCGTGCTCACGCACACGCTTGGGCTGCGAGTCAACGCCGAGCCTCTTCCGCGCCGACTGAAACGCAAGCTCGGAGCCCAGCTGCCCTCCGGGCCGAGCGGGGCCAGCGGCCGCGCACAGAGGGCCCACCCCGCCCTCCCTGCCGAGCTCCTCTGAGGCCCGTGTCTTTCTCGTCCGTCCTCCGCACCCCCATCCAGCCGCACTGTGACTTGTTAAGGCCGATGCAGCCCCAGCCCCAGCAGGGGCAGGGGCGGGGACCCCGCGCGGTCGGAGGGGCCGCAGCGAGCGGGGCGTTGCGCATGAGTTTACTTTCTGCACAGGCACTGAGCAGCCTTCACGCCAAAGTTCCACATTTTCCAAATCAGGAAAAACCCCGCTGGCAGCTAATTTTCGGCCCTTTTCCAAATTGTGTGTGATGGCCTCTCACCCCAGCGGCAGTGGGGGCCCTGGAGCCGCAGAGGCGGCCGCAGCCGCGGTCCCCGGTCGGCGGGAGGCGGCTGAGCTGCCCTACGCCGAGCGCCACGCGATGCGCGCGTGTGGCGGGCGCCTGCCGGTCCGGCAGGGCTGGGGGCGCCTTCCTGCCCTCTGTCCTTCCCAGGGTGCCCCTCACCGTCACTTTAGAAGGCACCCTGCACACAGACCGCGGGGAAAAGGCGTCTGGGTCAGCCGCCGCGGGAGGACACGTGGTCGCCCCGGAGCCGCGGTCTCCAGGACAGGAGCGCGCAGGCGAGCGGCCGGGGCGCAGACGGACCGGACGCTGAGGAACGAGCCTGGGGACACGCGTGCGGGCACCGCAGGAGCGGGGCAACGGGGGACTGTGCCGAGGCGCCTCTGTTCCAAGTGCAGAAATCGCCCCAAACACAGGGCCTGCGTCTTACCTGGGACCTGTTTGCCTCTTTGCATAAAGCGTACCGAGCAGCGTTTCTGGTAAATGACAAGGTACCACCTGTTTCCAAAGCTCCACCAGCAGCAGCAGCCAGTGCTTCCCAGCCGACCGCGCCCCCGCGCTCAGGGCCCACCAGGCGGGGTTTCCGCGGGAGCCAGGGAAGCGTCTGCCGTGGCTGCCTGGGCCGCCGGGGAGGCCCCTTCACGGCAGGGCTGGCCCGGGGTGGGGGACACACCACAGGCCACGTGGGAGGCTGAGGAGGCTGAGGACATGCGTCTTGCCCGCGGCACCTCCTGGCTCTCAGCTGCCACGGCCGGGCCGGTGCGCCTTCCTCCTCGGACAGAGGCCCCCCGGGCTGCCCCCCCAGTCACCGTCCCGGGGAAGGCCGCACGCACCTGGCGAAGGGTGGTGGGCGGGCGGGGGAGAGGCGAAGTCCAGCTTGTCCTTGAGGTCCTCCTCGTTCTCCTTCTGCCACTGCAGACCGACCTTCTCCCAGAGGCCGGCAGCCTCGTGCCTGCAGGGCGGACAGCCAGGACAGACGCCCTCAGGGAGGGCCCACAGCCTGGTGCCGAGTCTCCGGGGAGCTGACTAGGAGCCCCGCTGGGCATCACGTGGCTTCACTGGCAGCACTAAAGGCTGACGGTGCCCAAAGCATTAAAAAGGCAAGATTACGTTTTCAAGACCCCAGAGCCCCTTCTACGGGAGTGACCTCTCAGCACAGAGATGAAGGGTGCGGGGGGGGGGGGTTCCACGAGAGGCCCCAAGGCAAAGGACACACCCGCCACCGCCGCCGCCAGCTCGGGAAAGGCAGGCCCCGCCACTCACGCGATGTGCGGCATGTCGTCGTCGAGGCTGCTGAGCAGCAGCGGGATGAGCTTGTGGAAGAAGGAGTACCGGTCCCGCAGGTCCAGCAGCCAGCCCCCCACCACGCGGGTCACCGCCTGTCGGACCTGCGCGGGAAAGAACGCAGAGGCTCGCCGGGCCCGGGCGAGCGCCTGGAGAGGAAACGCTGGGGCCACGGTCGACGCCCTGGCCTGAGTCCTCTGGGCTCCAGCCTGACCCTCTGCCCGCGAGGCCAGAGCCGCACGCTGCTAAGCAGAGAGGCAGAGCAGTGCCTGCGGCCTTCGGTGCGGGAGCCGACCTGCTGGCCACCTGCCGGGACTCCTGGGGAAGCGGCCGGGCACCCCCTTCCACGTCCTCAGACGTGTCCTGGGGACCAGAGCGACGAGGCTCCAGGGAGAACGCCCAGAGTGGACGGCCACGCTCTGAGCGCGCTCCCTGCCTGTGAGGGGCAGCGCCCAGCTGCCCGCTGGGCGCAGGGGGCGCACGCAGAAGCTACTTCCAGGCAGGCGCGCGGGTGCAGCCCAGGGACCTGGAACGCAGCCCAGGAGGCCGAGTTCAGGAAGTTACAAGTCAGTGAGAGCCCGGCCTCCTGCCGAGAGCGGTGGGGCTCCATGCCGCCCTGGGCTGCCCGTGGGGCGATGGCTTCACCTTCAACTCACTGCAAGGGACTCCGGTCACCCTGATCGCTAACGTGACCCCGGCCCCGCGCGAAAGCTGGTGGGCAGCCGAAGAGCTGAATTTGAACCCCCTCCTCAATCTGCCCTGGAACTTGTGCGCAACCAGTCAAATCCCAGGGGGAAGAAGTAAAGGAAAGTGAAAACAGTTTCAACAGGGAGCACTTGTTCTGGACCATTAAATAGCAAGAGTCACGGACCGGAGTTCTGGAAACGCCCGTGACCAAGGGAAACTGAACAACGACCCCGAGGGCAGCAGTCGTCCGGCGGCGCCCGGCTGGCCCGTGGGCTGCAGACCCTGCCGATGCGGGGCCGGGCCAAGCGCCCGCGTCCCACGCCGCCCGCGGGGAGCTGCCGCTCAGTGTGCTGTTCGCAGCGCCGACAGCTGCACCGATGGCAGAGCTGCTGACACGTTTACACCCCGACGCGTAACTGTCCACGCACTCCCACCGCCCGGCGGGGCCGCAGCCCCACGCAGCAGCCGCCGGGGCGCCTTCCTCGGCTCCGGAGGACCCTGCCCGCGAGCCTGGCCCTGCGCCCCCGCGTCCCCTTCACGTTTCCTCCCCTGGGGAGGCAGCGTGCCCTCCGCTCCCCGTGACGTTTCGGAAGCCAACACAGCCTCCAACTTGGCTTCTGGTCAGTATTCCGTCCAGACTCCACCCATCTGTCTGTCTGTTGCTGGATGGGACCTGAAGCCCAGTGGAGCGGGCTGCCCCCCGCCCCTCAGGCCTGGTTTGCCCACCCTGGTGGCTTCCCCACTGTGGCTGCCTTGGCGGGGACGCATCAAAGGTGCTCCCGTGAACGGCGAGCACACGCAGCAAAGGCTTCTCCCGAGAGCAAACGGTCCTCCTCCGTGTTCCAGGGGGAGAGCAACACGCACCCCAGGCTGGCGTGGCTCAGCGGACAGAGCGCCGGCCTGCGAACCCAGGGCTCTCGGGTTCGATGCCCAGCCAGGGCGCAGGCCTGACTTGAGGCCAGGTCCCCAGCGGGGGGCGAGCAGGACGCCACCGATCCACGCCTCCCTCGAATGTCGCCCGGACCAGGACGATTCTGCTCCGCCCACTTTCCCGGAGAAGTGAACCGGAGCCCCCGGGGCTGGGGCAAGGACACCTGGGGCAGCGTGGACATCTTGACAAAGCAGCGGGAAAGTGTCAGCCCCGCACCCCTGGGGACCCCCGCGGACCCCCCCGTACCTGGGGGACATCATCAAAGAGCCGCTGAGCAAAGTGAGGAAGCACGTCGTCCACGGACTTCCCGTTGCCGAACTGGATCACCGTGCCCGTGGCCTCGACGACGGCCACGCGGACCTTCCAGTGCTGGTGGGAGATGCTGTGCATCAGGGGGCCGATGAGAGACTCGGACTGCATGTGGATGTGGTCTGCGGAGGAGACATCGCCGCGCCCGTTCCTCCTCCGCCTGCTCCTCCGCCAACCCTGCCCGAACCCCACCGGAAGCCCCGCGGCGGCGCCTCCGCCAGGTCGGGACCGTTTTCCTTCCATCTCCACGGGCGGACCGCCCGGCCCGAGTCCACGCCAGCGCCATCTGTGCGGACCAGCGGCGGCCCCAGCGGCTTTGCTCCCTCCCCCACACCGGAGCCATCAGGCCCTTTCTCCGCACCGCCCCCCCTCCTCTTTCCCTTCAGCCCCCGGGCGCCCCCCGGGTCCCCGTTGGCTCAGCTTATTCCTCAAGGCCGGGTCCCTCCCCCGCCTGCCCCAAACACCCCCTCCTCCCAGAAGCCTTCCCGGCAGCGCTCGGAGGGGCCTCCCCTCGCTCCACACCCGGTCAGAGGCGCAGGGTGAGTTCCCTGGGGCGGGAGGCGGGACCGGCTGCTTAGGAAACGGGAATGTTGGGGTCAGACTAGCGACTCTGAAATAACGGGGAACGGATGGGCGGGAAACAGGAACCCTCGACTTGGGAGGAGAGCAGTCCAAGCCAGAGAGGACGGGGGGGGGACACCGGGAAGAAGTGGGGGTGACAAGAAGGGACAGGCTAGAGCAGTGTTTCTCAAAGTGCGGTCCCTTCGGCACCCGGGTTAGCCTCCCGGCGACGGGCGGGCCCATCGGGGGCCCACGTGAGCTCAGCGGTGGATTCTGTACTTTGGGAACCACGGGACGGGAAAGCGTCCAGGAGTCAAGAAAGAGCCCAAGAGGGGACCGCGGCCGGGGACCAAGCGGGGGCGCCGGGAAGGACGTGGGGTGCATGGGCCCGCCCCTCCCCCCGCCCCGGCACGCGGCGGGCACCTGGCGTGGCGCGCGCCAGGCTGGCGGCGCACTCGCAGCTCTCGCGGCGCACGGCGGCGAAGGGGTCCAGCAGCGTGCAGCGCAGCGCGCGCACCGCGTCGTCCAGGTGGGGCGCGAGCGCGGCGCCGCCCAGGTCCACCGCCAGCCGCAGCAGCTGCACGAGCGCCAGGCGCAGCTCCTCGCAGGCCTCGGGCGGCGGGCGGCGCGCGGGCTCGGGGCCGGCCAAGCGCGCAGCGAGCGCGGGCAGCAGGCGCGGCAGGGCGTCGCGGGGCCGCGCGGCGCGCCGCAGGCCCAGGCCCAGCAGGTGTGCGGCCAGCGCGCGGCAGCCCTCGGCCGGGTCGGCCAGGCAGCGCAGCAGGCGCGGCAGCAGCAGGCGCGCCCAGGGGCCCTGGAAGGCGGCGGGGTCGGCGGCGGGCGCGTCGGGCCGCGCCGCCTCCAGGGCGCGCTGGAGCGCCTCGAGCGCGCGCCGCCGGCCCAGCTTGCTGTCGGCCTCTAGCCCGGGCAGCAGGCGGCTCAGGGCGCGGCTCAGCTCCGCGGCCTCGGCCGGCTCGGCCGCCTCGGCCGGGCCCGCGGGCGCCGCGGCCTCCGCCGCCACCAGCGCCGCCATCTTCTCCGCGTTACCCGTCGCCTGGGGAGACCGGCGCTTTTACGACGGCGCGCCGCGGATGACGGCCCGTCTTCCGGTGGCCTCGGAACGCAACTTTATTGGCGGCCTGGAGCGCGGACAGGACCCGAAGCTCCCGGGCGCCGGCGCGGCCCCGCGGCCGGGGGAGGGCGCCTGGCGCGCGGAGAGGCCCGCTGGCCTGCCCGGTTGCAAGTCCCCGAGCCCCGGACCCCGCGGCGCGGAGGCCTCGCCGCCGGGGCCCCAGGCGGAGGCGCGTCGCAGTCCAGTGGGCAGGGTGCGACTCCCGGCCCGACCTGCCACCAGCTCCCGCCCGAGACGCTGCGCGTGATGTTTTCAGACAGCACAGCGCTTGTCCCCTGAAGGACCAAGCTTCATTCTGAACGCGGCCCCTCTGTTGCTGAAACTTGGTACAGTGGCGGTGCTAACAGACGATCCTTGTGTTTTGTGACTGTTTTTAAGTCTCCCTCGGTCCGCGCCACGCTTGCTTTCCTCCGCGGGCGTGGGGCCACACGCGGTCTGAGACGGGCCGTAGAAACGGGCCTGCCTGCAGGCCTCACCGGGCGAGGGGCCGTGACGAGCTCCCCTGCGCTGGGAGCGTCAGGGGCTCAATAGTGTTCCCCAAAGCGCCCATCTCTCGGAGTCCCGACCCCCAGGACGTCGGAGGCCCCAGTGAGAGATGGGCCTTGGCAGAGACCTGCAGGTTCCGACGAGGACGGGCCCTAATGCAGTGGCACCAGTGTCCTTATCAAGAGGGGACATCGGGGGCAGACACACGGGCTGGGAGAGCACCCCGCAAACGTGAGGACGGAGGCCTGGAGCCGACTCCCTGACAGCGACCCTCAGAGGGACCCACCGACACCTCCATCTGGGACTTCAGGCGTCCCGGGTGGCGGGAAGGTAAATTTCCGGGAGTTCTGGTTGCCAGAGCTGTTGCTGAGTGGGAGAGGTCAGATCCTGGGGAGCACCACCTGGACGGCAGGGCCGGCGGGTGCCCCCTCCTCCCGGGGAGTTTCAGGAGCCGCCGAGCGTGAGCGAGAAGGGGTGATGCCTGTCCTATTCCGGGTCATTGTACAGTGTCCTGGTTACTGTCTTATCAAGTGTGTCATTTCAACAAGTGTAATAAACTGATTTTAGCAAGTAACACGTGCTTGACTTTCATTATTCCATCCAACAAACCTCCATGGGAGGTGCGTGCAGCCCCGGAACAGCGGTGCGTCAAAGCAGGTGCCGCCACGCCTTCTGGGGCTGGGCAGGACGTGGGTAGATGCACTTGCGCCCCCCTGGGGCAGGCTCCTGGGGAGGCGCTGAAGGCGGGGTCTGAGGGACGCAGCCCTGGAGGCCCTGGGGAGGGGCAGTCCGTGGGAAGCGCCCCAGGACTTCGGCGGGACGGCTCCTCCTCGGCCGCCTTCCACCTCGGGGCTCTTTGCTGAGGGCCTGGGACACGAGATTTCACACGAAGTTGGCCACAAAGTGTCAAAGTCGGATATAATGAAGCATTACCCAGGCGAGGGTTTGGGGGACGTGCCCCCCCCACACCGCGGCCACCAAGAAATCGGGGTGCTCAGAAGCAGGCGCTCTCAGCCCCGCCTGGCACCGCTGGGGCCCCCAGAGGACCCGGGTGAGGTGCGCCTGGACCCCGGACCCACGGACGTGGGGAGAGCCTGGGTGTGTGGATTTAAGTCAGTACGTCTGCGGGAATCTGTCAGGCAGCAGTCGATGAGTAACTCATGGGGGGTTCGAGGAAAAGCGGCCCAGCTGTAAGGCTGGGCGGGTGCAAGGGCTCACGTTCCCGCGGGACATCCTACCCGCAGTGGGATGGTGCTGGGAGGGGGCTTTGGGGTGATCAGGTTGTGGGTGGGGCCCTCATGAGTGGGATTAGTGTCCTTATAAAAGACCCCAGGGAGCTCCCTCGTCCCTTCCGCTGCCTGAGGACACAGCGAGGAGGCTCGCCAGACCGGCACCTTCACCTCCGACTCCAGCCTCCAATCTGTAAGGCAGAGGCGCCTGCCGCGCGTAAGCCCCCGGCGGCGGCGGCTCTGCTACAGCAGCCGGAGGGGGCTGAGACGGGGGTGGGGGGGAGCAGGCGGTGCAGAGGAACGCCATGTACAAAACGGTGTTATAAAGGCAAAAGAATGAGCCCTGGCCGGTGCGGCGTCACCCTGCAAAGCGAGAGGGCGCCGGTTTGATTCCGCTCAGGGCGCAGGCCTGGGCTGCGGGCCAGGTCCCCCGTGGGGGGCGCGAGAGGAAACCAGTCGGTGTTTCTCCCATTGATGCTTCTCTCCCTCTCCCTCCTTTCCCAAGTCTCTAATCAAAAATTTAAAAAAAATAAAATATTATGAGTGAACAAACATTAAAAGATCAGAAAAAAGAGTCCAGGAATAAACCCTGATGTGTACAGGGACACTCTTTCAGGCCAACGCAGCCTCAGAGAGGGAAACAGTAACTCAGCAAACAGTTTGGTGAGGACTGAAAAAACAACCAGGGAGAAGTTCAGTTGAATCCCTGTGTCACTATACAGACAAGGTTCGGATGAATCAAGGTTGAAATACAAAAATTGAAACTATAAAAGCCATAGAAGGAAAGTTGGGGAAATAGTTCAGTCTTGAGGCAGAGGCTGCCTTTCTAAGCATGACACAAAATCCAGGGACCACACATGTAAAAAATGGATATTTTTCAATACATAACAGTGAAAATTTTCTGTGTTGAAAAGTACAATCAAAAGACAAAATACGTCTGTAATACACACCACGAAGGGCTAAGTTCCTCAGCACGAAGATACCCAACTTCCCTCAGAAGGAGACCAGTGCAGGTGAAACTGCACACTGGCCCGCGTTTTCAGTTGTCAGGTGAGCGAAAGCCCGGGTCCGACCCGCCGCTTTGGCCGGGCTGTGGGCGACCGGCCGCCCGGCAAAGTTTGGGGGGAGCGGACGGGCTGGGATGGAGGCCAACCCAGAAAACCCGCGTCAACCGTGTGAACGCGCACGTGCCCTGTGCTGGCAGTCCCGCCGGCCTGCCCTCGTCAGTGCTTTGGTAAAACTGATCGGACCTCGTCACCGCCGCTTTGGCACAGCACCTGTTCTAAGGCCAGTCCGGGGACTCACATGCTCAGGCGGCGAGGGCCCGGCACCTGCCCCCCGCATCCCCACCCACTTCCCGACCCTCAGATGCCGCCAACGCCGCCAACGCTCCGTGCGGTCGCTGGGCTCCTACCCCGGGCCGGGCCCCGTCCTCAGCCCCTCAGCTCCCGTCCTCACCTGTCAGCTCCAGCTGAGGTTCGCCGGCCTCTGTCCCTCTGCCTGGTGGTGGTTGGTATCCACGGGAGGGGCCGCGCGTGGCCGTGAGCCGACCCCTCCGCCCCCCCGGGCAGGGGCTCCCGTGCCTGGTCCAGGGCGCCCCAGGGCCCCTCCAGAGTCTGGATGCGCCCACGCACAGCCTCCCTGTCTGTGCCCCAGGAACGCGGCTTCCGGCCCCTGGGCCGCGCGCAGTGAATGGAGAGCAGGACACGCACCCCCATGCCTGGGAGACGGAGGCCGAGCACACGGCCTTGTGTGCGGCGCCCGCGCGGGGAGCTCAGGGTGTGGCCCCCGGAGGGCGCTGCCGCGGGAGGGCCAGTGTGGCCGCGGCCGCGAGGGTCACGCTGCGTCTCGGGCGTGGGCCGCAGTCGGGGACAGGCGGGCTTGGCAGTGGCGTCTTCGCAGGGCCCGGTCGGCGGGCCTCACCGGAGGGCGGGCGAGGTCGGGACACCCAGCCTCGGGGCGGCCACGGGGCGAGCACGTGGTGGGCCCCCCCTGCGGGCGGGGCCTTCGCTCACTCAGGGCGGGTCCCGGACGCCTGCGCTGATGGCGTGTCTCAGCGCAGGGGCCTGGTGGGTGGGAAAGCGGGACTTGCCAGGTGGCGACCGCGGCCGCGCGGGGCACACAGCGTTGAGGCGCACGCGGCTGCGAGGGATGGCCGGGCGACCCCTGTCGTCCTCGCCGAAGGGCACTGGCCTCGGTGGCCCCATCGGCTTCCTTACTGACCCCGTGCCTGCCGTTGCCAACGCCGTTTCGTGGGCTTGTCCGTGTGTGTGTGGGGGGGGTTGCACATCAGGGGCCTGTGGACATGGATGCTTCTCAGTTACAAAAAGGGAAACACCAGCCGAGGACACGGCCCAGCGCTCGCTGTGTGACACGGTGGGAGCCCAGCCCCAGAGCCGGCTGGACGTGACCCTGGCTTCCCCCCCCCGCCCCGAGCCTGCAGGGGCAACAGAACACGTGGAAGGCTTGTCAGGGGCAACTGAGTCCTGGGAGCAAAGGCCAGCCCTGGAGCGCCTGCCCCCAAAGTCCGTCGGTGAAAGGGCCCTTTTCTGTCGTCCTTCCAAGCCACCCTGGAGGGGCGAAGTAAGGGCGGGCGGGGGGCGGGGGGGGCAAGGGGAACGAGGTGAGACAGCCACTGCTGGGAGCTGACTGGGGGCGTGGCCAGGACCAGCTGGCAGGCTCCTGGGGGCAGGGCTGGGGCGCAGCCGGGAGCTCCCGGTTTGCCCACCTGAGCGGGGCCTGTGCCTTCGCCCTCACGCAGGCAGGAAGGGGCAGGCTGCGGTTAGCAGTGTGACAGGTGAGCGGGGACAGGTGAGTGTGCGCGGGAGGCGGGTGTGGACAGGTGAGCGGGGTCAGCAGGTGGAGGGGAGCAGACGCCACCCCTTCAGGGCCCGGGCCCCTGCCCCCTCCCGGTGTTCAGACTGCTCTGGGGGAGATGGGGGGACCCCCGGCTGACGGACGGGAAGTCCCTGCCACGGTCCTGGAGGGATGGGGACGACACACGACGTCGGCAACAGCGGAACACGAGCGGTGCCCTTTCCTGCAGCCCCTGGGCCTGGGGTTACGGGGCCCCCGGGGGCTCCCAGGCCTCCCGGACGCCCTGCACCCTGGGGGTGGTGGGGAGAGGTCGGGGCGACCCTGCGATCTCCAGCCGGGCCAGCTGGGTGCAGAAAAGGGGGTCAGCTGGCCCAGCCCTGGAGCGGCCGCGCCCCCGCGCCCCTTCTGAGCAGGAGACAGACCTGGGGACCCGGTGCTACTGCCCAGCGGACGAGATGCAGGTGGAGCAGCCGGCCCTGCTATCAGCTCCCGGCCCGGGCTGCAGGGTTGCCCGTGGAGGGGGCTGGGTGCTGGCCTGGCCTGGCTGCCCCTGGCTCTGGGGGTCTGGCCAGGCTCCATGTAATGCGCCCCCTGAAAGCCAAGCGGCGGGCGGGGTGGGGGGAGGCTGGTCCTTGGGGAGGAAGGGGAAGCCAGAGTGTGGGAGACAGACCTGGGGGGGAGGGGTGGCGGGGCGTCGGTGCTGGGGGTGGGGGAACGGGCGCGAGGGGCGGGCGGAAGGCGGTGCCGCTGCAGTGCGGGACTGCTCGCCCTCCCCGCGTCCCCGCGTCCCCGCGCAGCCGCCTCCAGCCCCGGGCGCAGCGCAGCCAGGTACGCGGGTCTGGGGTGGGGGGTGCGCCAGATCCCCGGCCTGTCTGGAGCTGGGCCCCGGCTGCCTGGGAGGCTCCGGGAAATGCGGGTCTTTGGGGAGACCCCGCCCCCATGGCTGGACCCGGGTCTGCGGTGCCTGGGAGGGGGCGGAGGTCGGGCGAGGGGGCTCAGAGACCCTGGGGAGGAGGCACCGGTGCGGGGCCGGGGGGCTCCGGAGAGGAGATGTGGGCCCGGGGCGGGCTGCGGGCTGGTCACCGCGGCCGAGGCTGGAGCCGCGGGGCTGAGGACGGCGGCCTTTGTTCTCAGGCACCCTCCTTCCAGAAGCGCTCAGCGGGGTTGGCCGTTTTCCTTTCTCTCTTTCGGATAAGCGCCCCGCCCCCAGCCCTGTGACAGGCCCCTCCACCTCCCTGGTGCCCTGAGGTCTCACCCCGGTGGGCCCTGCTCACCTTTCACACAGCTTTAAAAAGGGGAGCGGTGGGCACAGGTGGGCCCGGGCCGCGGCCGACCCTCGGGGGTGCTCTCGGCCCCTCACGAGATGCGGGGCCCCTCCGTCCCCACGGGGACCTCCCTGGGAGTGAGGGTTCGCCCCCTGGCAACAGCGCAGCCAGATCTCTGACGAGAGCAGAACGAAGCGCTTGCACCGCATCCGCTGGCCATCGGGCTTGGCCATGCGGACCAGCCTGTGACACACGGGTCAGGCGTGTGCGTCCAGGTCGGGGCCCCCGCGGCGCCGCGCGCTGAGGCGGGCGTGTCCTCCCGGGCAGGAAGCAGGGCGCCGGCGCCATGGCCGCACCGCCGGCCCACCCGCTGGAGGAGGACGAGAGCCTGCGGGGCTGCGAGCTCTACGTGCAGAAGCACGGCATCCAGCAGGTGCTCAAGGACTGCATCGTGCACCTGTGCGTCTCCAAGCCCGAGCGCCCCATGCGGTTCCTGCGCGAGCACTTCGAGAAGCTGGAGAAGGTCAGTGGGCCCCCGCGCTCCTCCCCGCCTGCCGCTCTCGGGCCGTGAGGCCTGCCCACGAGGGTGGCCTCCTGGGGCTGACCCCTGGGTCTCCCGGCCACAGAGCCCCGCCCCTGCGCCCGCGTCCTCTGTTCGGGACGTCCCCTTGGCCGTGTTTCAATGTGGGGGACACCGCGCTGGGATGAGGGCTCATGGGGCTCACTGACAGTTTCACCGCAAGGGACGGAGGTGGGGACCGGTCCGGTACAGATGCTGGCGGCACTTGGGGGAGAAGAAAGCGGCTCTGACCGAGTGTGCTGTGGGGCGCAGGCCTGTCACCCTGCCTCCCTGGGCTGCCGCAGACGCGGGTGGGGAGGTGCCCCTCGGACGCGTGCCCCCTGCGGGGGACAGGCCTGCGCCCCGCCTCTGAGGAGGGAGACGCCCCCCGGTCCACGCGGGAGGGCCGGCCGGGAGCAGGCCAGGGACAGACGCCCTGCCAGCCCCTCGCGTGGCTCGCCACCCTGAGCTCCCTGGGAGCCGCCTCAGGTTCCTCCCCGTGGCCCTCCCGTCACCACGTAGCTGTCCCTGTCCCTGTCCCTGTCCCTGTCCCTGTCCCGTAGGGACGGGCTGGAGTCCAGTCCAGGCCCGGGGCTGCTCTAAGCCCCTCTGCGACCCTGAGCCCGCCCATGCTGTTCCCCTTTGCTCGGGGGAGCCCTGACCCACAGGAACAGGTTTATTTCTTCCCCTTTTTAAAATTTTTAAAAAAAGATTTTACTTTTTATTTATTTTCAGAGAGAGGAGAAGGGAGGGAGAGAGGAGAGAAACATCCGTGTGTGGTTGCCTCTCGCGCGCCCCCTACTGGGGGCCTGGCCCCACCCCCGGCCTGTGCCCGACTGGGAGTTGAACCCGCAACCCTTTGGTTCGCAGGCCGGCGCCCAGTCCACTGAGCCACACCAGCCGGGGCAGATCCTTCCCTTTAAAGCAATCTGTTAAAAAACACTTTAGAGCAACGCGTGCCTTTCAAGGACAACTTCGAAGGTGCAGAAGGAGAAGGAAGGGTGACTCCCGCCTGCGGCCCCTGCTGCCGCGGGGCCGCCGGCGCCGGTCGCGGCTGCGTTCCCTGTTCGTTACGCCTTCCCGTGGGCTTCACTCAGGCACCGCACCGGCGCCCGGCCCTCTCTCCGTGTCTCCCTCACGCTTGGACCTTCCGGCTGTTTCAGGGTTATTTTAAGATTAAAAATAACGCCACACTGACGTTTGTACACCAGGTTTCCCGCACACCGTTTCGTTCGTTCGGTGCGGCTTTTCAGAACCGGGAGGGCCAGGGCTCCTGGACTGCTCGCCCATGGTGCTTCGGCCGAGCCAGCTGTGGCTGCTTTAGTTTAAAAGTCCGTTCTCTGATGGACAGATGGAAACGGTCCTGTGGCCTTGGCCCACGGAGGTGGCTTCCGAGGTCCCTTTAGGAGGAGTTATGGCACAGAGGACGGGGTGTGGGGGTCGCCAGCTCCCACACGCTTGAGGAGGGAGCATCAAGCAGGTATGTCTTTGAGCTTCTCTCTTTTTTAAAAAAAGGTTTTATTTATTCTTAGAGGGAAGAAAGGGAGAGAAATAGCGACGTGTGGGAGAGGCACCCATCGGTTGCCTCTCGTGCGCCCCCTACTGGCCCAGGCCTGTTCCCTGACCGGGGCTTGAACTGGCGACCTTTGGGTTTGCAGGACGACGCCCAGCCCTCGGAGCCTCACCAGCGGGGGCTGTCGGTGAGCTTCTCAAACCGTAGCTCGGTCGGAACTGGAGCTACTCAGCTTGGCGTGTTGCAGGTGGCCCCGTCATGGGACGCGTCTCCCGGGCTGTGACGGCCCAGCCATCCAGGGCCGGGCGCCCGGCATGAGGCCACGCCGGGTCCAGGCCAGACCTGAGCGGAGGTGCTCACCGGGGGGGCCGTGCGCCCGGGGCGGTTGCAGTTCCGGTCGTTCCCGGGTCGGTGTGGCCCACGGGGGCGGAGATGCCAGGCCAGGCGGCCAGTGCTCTGGTGGGGACGCGGCCGGCCTCGGTGGGGCCTGGGTGTGGGTGAGGGGAGGCGCCTGGGACGCGCGTCCTGGGGTGGGGTCCGGGCCCCCAAGTGAACGGGGTGCTGCCTGCCAAGAATGGAGGTGGGAAGAGGCAGGGCCGGACGGGAAAGTGAAGAGTTCAGCTTTGGATGCGCAGGTGGCTGCCGTCGGGAGGCCGTGGGCTTGGGCCCCGGGCGGAGGTCGGTGCGGGGGCAGCGGGCGGCTGCGCTGGCCCTGGACGGCGGTCCTCCCTGCCTGGGGGCGGCCTGTGCACAGCTTGGGGAGGAGGAAGTTTCCGGTCTTGTTCTAAACCCAACCCTTCCCGCTGTTCCACTGGAGGAAAAACCTGAGGCCGCGTTTCCTGGGTCTTGGTTGCCGTGGTGACTGGGCGGGTTTGTGGGGCCTGTGTCCACAAGCTGCACAGACGTGGGGGCTGCGGGGAGGCGGGGAGATTCCACAGCAGAAGCGCCCTCGGCGCCGGAGGCCACGGCGGCACCGTGGGTCCCTGCAGGCCCGTCCCGCGCGGCGCGTGGTTTGCGCCCCCCCCCAGTGTCTCGGGCTCCCAGAGGCATCGCGCGTCTGACTCTGCCTGCATCACGGGTCCCTTCCAGGCACGCGGGTGCCCTGGATTAGGGCCCCTGATGACCTCACGTTACCTCCAGTCCGATGTCAAGACCCCGGCTCCGAACACGGCGGGCTCAGGCGCTGCGGGGCTGGGGGCCGGGACCCCACCCAGGTCTGCTCCGGGGACACAGTTCCACCCTGACCGCCGCCCCCCAAGCCTGGGCAGTGGGTGCAGGAGGGTTACACTGAGTGCGGCCGCTGCTCCGGGAGCAGCGGGACCGGGCAGAGGTGACGCGGCCGTAGCCCCTGAGCCGGAGAAAACGTGTGGCCTCATCGTGCGTCGGGGAAAGGCCAGGGGCTGCTGTGTCTCTTCTGTAAGAGGCACAGGCCTGGGGGGATTGTGGTGGCGTCTCTGAAATCCTCCGTGTGCTCTGACTGCTGGGTGCATCTGGTCTGCGGTGGGCTCTCCGAGGACCTGCGACCCTCAACCCGAAGGGCCCTGGAGTCCCCCGCTGTGGGGGCTCCGCCCGCCGCTGTGCACTGATAAGGGGCCAGGAAATGCTCCCTCCTCCCGGAGGCTGGATGCAGGGCCGGGGCAGCAGGGCCGGAAGCCGGCTTGCAGGCAGGAAAGCGCGTGGGGGCCGCCGCCGGGAGGGCGCGGCCGGCCACACAGACCAGCGGGATGGCCCAGCCAGCAGGGCGCTGCCCTGGCCGGCGGAGCGCGGCGCCGGGCGCGCAGGCCTCGGTGAGTGCGGGCGTCGTCCCGGGCCAGCGGCTCCCAGGCGGAGACTCACAGGGGTACCGTGTTCCGTGAGCCTCCGGCACACACAGCCCTGGGCGTGACCTTCCCGGGGGGGGGGGCGTGCGATGGTAACGCCGTCTCCCTTCTACTGGTGGATGCAGATGCTGTGGGGAAGACCACGCCGCTGCAACGCCCACTGCCCTCCCGTGTCCAGCACCGCGTGCTCCTGAGGACTTCCTGCTTCGCATCACCGCCCCCCCCTCCCCGGGATGTGGATAATTTTAGCTTGCGTGCATTTTTTATTTTTCTTCACAGTGCCATTTTTATTGCGGTAACATATACATAACACAAAAAGCACCACGTTGACTGCTTTTAAGTGTCCATTTTGGTGGCATTCACAGAGCTCTGCATCCATTTAATAGCACTTTTATGGCATCTTGTGGCCACAGAATCTTCCCTCCCGTGGGCCGGTCGTAATTTTTGCTTTCCCTCCGTTGCCCGTGTTTGACGGCTGCCAGCTGTTCTTTTGCGGACACCTTCATGCAGAGGGAATGGCTGCAAAGAGGACAGGCCGCGTGCCGGTGCCCGCGGGCGGCGCTGGGTCGGGCGTGGGAGCCGCGGTTTCCCGGCTGGGCGCCCCCCGCAGCGTTCCCAGGTCCTCGCCCGCAGCGTTTTCTACGACGGCCGCGTGGGGCCCTCCCCGTGTCTTCTAACCACCGCTGAGGTTGAGCAGGTGTCTGTTCATGTACTTATTTGCTGTTGGCATATCTTCTTTGGAGGAGCGTCTGTCCATGTCTTTGGTCCATTTTCATTAGGTTGTTTTCTTTTTTAAAAAATGTATTTATTTATTTTTAGAGAGAGGGGAAGGAAGGGAGAAAGAGAGAAACGCAGAAACGCAGAGATACATTGCCTCTCGCGCGCCCCTCACCCGGGGACCTGGCCCGCAGCCCAGGACGGCGCCCCGACTGGGAGCCGAACCAGCGGCCCTCTGGTTCCCAGGCCGGCGCTCAGTCCCCTGAGCCACGCCGGCCGGGCCGGGCCGTTTTCTCACCGTGGAGCTTGAGGAGACCCGCAGGTGCGGGGCGCCAGGTCCTTGTCGGCAGTGACCTGCCATCGCCGCCCCCGCCCGTCCGCCCATCCGCCGGCTCCGACAGCCCCTTCCGGAGCGGCCCCTGAGGCCCGGCTCGTCCGCCGAACTGGGGCTGGCCACACGGCTGCGGGTCTGGGTCCGGCCTTCCTGTTCCGCGCGGGGACCTTGCCCTTCGGTGACGTCGCGCTGGGCGGCTGCGCCCTCAGCGGGAGGCGAGGTCCGCGCGTGTCTCCCGTTGTCCTTTTCCGCAGCTGCCTTGCCTGCTCTTTTCGTTGCCCCAGGCTCGCGCCAGAGGCCCGGGGGCGCGGCTGCATGGCCCTCGTGGGTTGTGACCGGGGCACGGCGCTCGTATGGATCCGCCTGGGGGGAGCAGGTCGCTTGATGACGCTGCATGCCCCCACCCATGGACTCGGGCATCTCTCCGTCTCGTGAGGCCCTTGAGTGCTCTCATCCATGAAAGGGCAACAGGTACTGTTCTCGCCGACAGAGTCTTCCCGCAGGCTGTCCACGTACCCCTCTGTCGCTGTTTTAAACTCCCGTTTTCACTGACGGCGGCCAGCCCGTGTTAGTCCGCGTC